AGCAGGAAGTTTCTATATAGAACGAAAAGAGCTCAAAGGAATTCTCTCTCAAAAAAAATTAAAGTTTATTCATAAAAAATATATTAACAAACAGAAGATATTGCTATAAAATTATGACTTAATTCAGTTCCATATAGATAGTAATTTTTAAGTTATTTTGGCCCCATAACCAGGTTATCTGGGCGTAGATTTTGCAAATTTGGTTTCAAGTTAATCTTAAATTGCAGCTTAATGAATGAATAATTAAATCCAATATCAAATTTATTTCCTAAAATACAAATAGGAACACTGTTCTTTAACATAATTTATCACATCCGGGTTCATTTCCAAGCATTAACATGGGTACCTTAGACCAAAATAGATCATCTAAAAGGGCTGCAGGGGGCTATATTTTGAGAATTTTTTAATTTTTCGATTTTCAGCCTACACTTTGTAATTCCCAGCTTCTGGAGCAAACCACATTTATACATGTGATGGATATATAGATAAATGACTTGTCCTACATTGGTTTATGGCTATTACTGCCCTATGTACGGATACTGCTGGGTTGGTTGCTAGCTGAACATTTTACATTGAGTATTGTCCCACAGTAGATATTTAGCTTTCCTCACAAGCCTTAATATACAGGAGATCATTTCTCATTGTTTAGTTATGGTTTAAATCTATAATACACATCAACCGCAATCCTCAAAAAAATAAATAAATAAAACATACCATACCAACCAGACACCATGTTCCATTTAGATTGGAGGTCTTAAACTCTGGATGGGACAGAAAATCGGTGCTAGGTTAGATGTTCTCCAGTGGTTTGACAGGCACATATTAGACACCAGAAAAATATCCGTAGTGAATTATTATACTGAAGTAGCATTACCTTTCTTAGCACAGAGAAGGTCCCTTTAAATACTGGGACGAGTCGTATTAAAAATGTTTAGCAGAATATACTTAGCTCAATGATACAATAATTACAAGTAAAGAATTAGACACTCCGCTTGTTTTAAAGTGGATGGATGAGTTGCCAAGCTAAAGCCACGTACTTTAATTTGAATCTCTGTCAACAACATTTAAGAGCCACTGGTTAGTACATAGCCCACATTAAATCATGTGTAAACTGTGCCTTTCTACAAGACAGGATGTGAACTACTTTGTAAGATTGCCAGGACGTCACTTGACCTTCTAGGTCAGTTCATTTAATTTTGAACTAATAATTGCCTTGAAAATGTGGAATTTATCCTTCCATAGTTATCCATATCAAATCAGTTCAACCAGGTTGGCAATGATAATCTGAAAGCACTGGACCATTTATAGCCAAGGCATCGCTACACAGCTAGTTTAAAGTCACCCAAGTATACTTAATACGAGTGATAAATGTGGCAAGGCGCAGCAGAAAAGAAAAATGCAGAAAACCACTTACCTTCACAGAACGATGGTGTGACTGATACCATCATCACCTTCAGATGATGCCATAAGGGAGGAAAGGAGTTTGTATAATCTCCCCCACCGCCCTTCTTCAGCAAATTCCTTCTCAGGATTTTTGGAATTAAAAAAATTATTTCTTACTGAAGGATTTCCAACTGATTTTGTACCTATATTTTTGGAAGACTATTATTCATCACAAGTCATTGTTTACTGAATAACCCATTTAAGCAGGAAAACAAAATTAAGTGCATTAACATTGTACTTATATTACGTTATATATATATATATATAACATTTTAGACTACCTAGAACCCACAGAACTGGGTCCAAAGTTAACAAAACCAAAATAAAGTAGCAAGCCATATACAAAATAATTATGAAAATTGTGTATTGCAGGGGTGCCCAAAAGGTAGATCCTTAGATGTTGCAGAACTACAACTCACATGATGCTTTGCATGCCTTTAGAATAATTTAGACTGCCAAAGCATCCTGGTAGCTGTAGTTTAAAAATATCTGGGCAGTCTCTGTGTATTTGAATGGTACATATTCAGCAGTATAACAAATATAAAAACAGATCTAAGCTTGGAATTTCATAAATTCATTAACACCACCAATTATGTTCTGCTACTGCTACATAGAACAGGATACAGCTTTGTTATTTAATCATGTTTTAGGACTCTGAACATAACAGAATATCAATACTGAGTGTTTGTACTTTTCATGTGCGTTTTCCTAATTCTGAGAACTCTAATTCTACTTAAAAGACCATGTGCACCATTATCTAAGCAGCCAGCAGAAAAATGAAGCTCTGTGATTCAGAAAACCTGGGTATTAAAATAAAAAGCGACTATAAAACAAGTTATCAAGAATTAGAATTCTTCCAAGTGACTCAAGCAGTTGAGTCCGTGTAAAACTTTTTAAAGGACCACTATAGTGCCAGGAAAACATACTCGTTTTCCTGGCACTATAGTGTCCTGAGGGTGCCCCCACCCGGCTCTGTAAGGGGGATAAGGGTAAAAACTTACCTTTTTCCAGCGCCGGGCGGGGAGCTCTTCTCCTCCGATCCTCCTCTTCTCCTCCCCGTCGGCTGTATGCGCACGCGCGGCAAGAGCTGCGCGCGCATTCAGCCGGTCACATAGGAAAGCTTTCATAATGCTTTCCTATGGACGCTTGCGTGCTCTCACTGTGAAAATCACAGTGAGAAGCACGCAAGCGCCTCTAGCGGCTGTCAATGAGACAGCCACTAGAGGATTAGGGGGAAGGCTTAACCCATTCAAAAACATAGCAGTTTCTCTGAAACTGCTATGTTTATGAAAAAATGGGTTAACCCTAGCTGGACGTGGCACCCAGACCACTTCATTAAGCTGAAGTGGTCTGGGTGCCTAGAGTGGTCCTTTAAACTAGAACAATTTTCTCCACCAGTTTTTCTAAAAATGTCCCTGAAAGAGCCTTTCGCTACTTTTAAAGGAACACTATAGTGTTAGGAAAACAAAACAGTATTCCTAACACTATAGTGTCTGTCTGCCTCCGGGCCCCCCGACATCAAATGGTTAAATTACCCTTTTTTCAGTTACCTGATTGCAGCACCAAGGTCCTTCGGAGCTGCCTGGGCTCCTCCTTTTCAGACATCAGCTGATGGAGGATTGCAAATGAAAGCAAGTACCGCACGAGCATTAGGCCTTCGCCCGAGCAAAGCATTGAATTAATGCTTTCCTATCAGAATTTAGAAAACGCTGAACGTCCAAACGCAAAGTATGATGACGTCCAGCGTCGTTCCACGGAGTTAAAATCTCTGAAACACCAAGAAGCCACTAGAGGCTGTCTTAATCCTGCAATATAAACATTGAAGTTTCTCTGAAACTGCAATGTGTTACATAGTAGAGTTAAAGGAACAGATGCTGCACCCAGAACGCTTCAATGAGATGAAGTGGCCTGGGTGCCTAAAATAAATCCACGAAAATATTTTTTTAAACCTTGGCAATTAAGGGAAACAAAACAGTGTTACGTTTTACAAGCGTCCTTGAATACTTGAAACATACATCAGTCCAACTCTTTCATTCAAAAAGTGATGGGAATAAACAGCTTTCAATACAAAAAGCCATACTGAAAATACCTAAACAGATCTTAATACAATGAGGAAGTAAAGTTCTAACCTGTTCGGCAATAGAACAGTTTACAGTGTGATATTCCCATATTTCATAGTGTTATCGTTTGTTGATGTTAACTGAGTTCCATTTGCTCTTTCCCAGTGCGAAACGCTAAGACCGTGTTAACTGTGTGTACATATATTATAAATATATGTATAAATATTCTATTAAGTGTTCCTCTTGCGGTTTAGTGTTAATTTATTGCCAAGCAAAACAGGACTTAAGATGATGGAAATACATTTTGACTTTGTATATTCAAAAAAAAACATTAAAGTAAAAAAAAAAAAATGACAAAATATAAAAAAAAAAAAGAAAAACACAAACCTTTAGATGGGATAAAGTTTATAAAAATATATTTTTAAAATATGAACAAATATATATATATATGTTTAAAAATATATTTCTAAGGTGCTGTGATTGTTATAGAGTTTGTGCACTTATTAATATGTGGTAACAATAATTCTACCTAATTAACGGATTGCCAAACAATCTTTATATTTCCATGTCTCCCTTTTCTGGATAAAAGCAATTAAAAATAAAATAAGACACAAATACATTTTTCACATTTCCATCTCTGCAATTTAAACTTTTTAAAAATAAAAGTATCTTAGAGTAAAAAATGTAATTCATTTTGAATAATGGGGAGAGGAGGAGGGGGCAGAATCTGATACGGAATGTAAATATAATTTTGAATCCAAAAAGATCTTAGTGTGATTTTTTTTTTTGATGTTCCTATACAGAAAATAAATAAGGCGATCCATTGACACAAGTATCACATGTTTTAAGTCACCGTTCTTGCACAATGACAGTAGATGTACGGTAATATTTAGAGGCGAGAGAATTGTTAAGACTTTGGTGAGAGGAAAAAAAAATAAAAATATATATAATGTGAAAATTATACTTTTACGAGCTTTTTGCACTGATCATAAAACTATAACACCTTCCATCAAGATGTCCTGGTGTGTTAGACTTTGTTTAAAAAAAAAAAAATAGAAAAAAAAAATAATAAAAATGAATATTGTTAGAAGGCAAATGAAAGTGATTCAATTCCCATGCTTTGCTTTTGCATTGAACTTGAAAAAAAATTATAAAACAATAAAAAAAATGGTTATTGTGCTAATAAAGTTTATTGTATTGAATATAACAAAATCTGAAGTGTGACTCTATCCTGCCATTTCAGTTTTTAATCTTATAAAGTATTGATTTTCATTTTTGTTTTCTGCTCTTAAAGGAACACTCTGGCCACCAAATTAAGACCCCCAAAAACGATATGCACTACACATTGGTTCTAGAGATTTTTTTTTATTTTTTTTTAAAGCTTCATTTTTACAAACTATTTGAACATATTGGCCAGCTAGTGAAAACTACCTGGGGCCCAAAAATAGGGTTGCCTGACGAGATTAAGGATTTTATTTAATTTTTTTAAGAGGTTTTCTTTTTTTACTTTTCTACACAGTCTGCGTATTTTGGGAGTAAGTAGGCATGAAACACTTTAAGAGTACTTTATAAATTAGCTGAACAGCTATATAAATCATTTTGACATCCAGCCTGAATCCCATCAGTGATTTCACCTACCTACCTACTATTTGATAACCCAGGTGTCCAGAATCCTTACATTTTATTACTGAAACCTCTGAGCATTACACGTAAGTTAGAATGTGAACAATATGTGAAAGTTAAGATTAAGCCAGTGTACAAAACCTTTCTAGAAACAAACTAGTGGGTGACCAGCAAACAAATATAAGCAAATGACTGCATGAGGAATATGGAGTAAGAGGACAAATTTTCATTTTTAAAGTGGATTAAACTGGAGTGTTAAACTAAAAATATCCATTGTATTACATGACGAGTTGTACATGTATACATTATATATACACATATCTTTCCAGCCTTAGACAGAATGTGTGTGTGTGTGGTACCATCTAGCACAGGGGTTATCAATTAATTTTCCTGTGGAACCCTTTGACATAGCGTATCAACATCGTGGAACACCAACCCCAATTTTTAAATTTTACTCCACTCAGCGTCCTTCCTTTGGGAGTGCTGGCATGGATTCTTTTTGTCTCTTGGCTAGGGGTGCGGTCCTGTGGGACGGCTAGGCTGAGCGTGTGGACTTTGGGGTCCAGTGGGGCTGCTGGGCTGAGCGTGCAGTCCCTGGGGTCCATTGGGGCTGCTGAGCGGCTGGCGAGGGAGCAGTGATCTCCCTGCTCTGCTCTCTCGTGCGCCTCTTAGTGATGCCGGAGCCAGAGTGACGTCATATTCCGGCTCCAGTATCATAGCTGTGCGCGCAAAAGAAACTGAGCAGGGAAATAATTGCCCACTGCTCCATCGCCACCAGCGGCCATTTTATTTTTGAAAATTTTGCCGGAACACCAGTTGGGAAACACTGGTCTAGCGTATATATATATATATATATATATATATAAAAAAAAAAAAAAATATATATATATATATATATATATATATTTTTTTTTTTTTTTTTAGTAAACTAGGTCAAGGGCTTCAGTTCAATACAAAATGGAAGTCAAAAACAATGTTCGAATAAATGAACACTATAGGCCACCCGGGTAATCCCTAAATCCTGGACAGTAAGGTGTGCCTTGAGGAGAGGGTTGAGGAGCACCACTACAAGCACCCAGACCACTCCATGTCAACAAAGTGGTCTGCGTGCCATGTACCCCAGTTTAAACTCTGCAGCTGAAAACATTGCCGTTTCCCAGGAAAAGCAGAGTTTTTATTGCAAGTTAAAATGTCTCTGGAGGCTGTAATACGCAGAAAAAGAGTAAAACTCCACTTTTTTTCAAATTAGATGGTCTCCTAGAAACACCATCTGACTGGCACAGTTCGGCATTTTGCTGCGCATATCCAAAAGCCACCCAACGCTTTCCTATGAAAAAAAACCACTGGATTGTCCGAGATCATCGTTCTCTGTAATCTCCGTCAGAAAGGCGGAAAAGCACACCAGAGACCAGCACTGAGAGGGAGAAAAGGTACGTAAACGCACTTGAGAGATAGAATACACATTTGTATTCCTAATACTATAGTGTGTTCCTTTAAGAAATGGATCAAAATACACACCCAATTATTAACTTCTAGCTACAGGAATCTTTAAATAAGCACCCAAGAACTTAAGATTTTGCTTAAGTCACTTGAAAACCATTTGATCCAGAAATGTGGAGGGAGGGGAAGGTTCCTGCAGCCTAACCGCACCATACGTGAATTTAATATGAAAAATCCTGTGCTACGGTTCTACAACTCGACGACTAACCACGAAGTGTCACACGTTTCACATTTAGTACTTTGAGATCATAGGAGTTTTGTATAAAGACTGAATCTGGGACAAAATATGGTGTAGGAATGTGTGTTATTTTTCTATAAATCATGAAAGCTCTCATTACATCCATATGAATAAACAAGATTCTAAAGATATCCTGGCATTCTGTTGGTGTATGTGTAGAGAAAGATGTCATTTACTTCATCTGAAATCTAAAAGTATAAGCTCATCATTTTCACAACCCAATAAATACTACAGAAGAGGAGTACAGAGGTAAGCATAGTACCAATAACTTTAATTACAAAAGACCTTATCCTACAGCAAAAAGTGTATTTTATAATTTCGTAGTAGTTCGATGTATTTGTTGCATGTATATATTATAACGGAGTCTTAGGAGATTCATGATGGGTAATTTCACAAAGGAAGGACGAGTAAAAATAGTGGAATTCTATTTTAAAAATGAGAACCGTTCGGTGAGTGGATCATTTCAAGAAATTCTCAGATTAATTGGCAGCCAAAGTTGCCCTACCTTTCAGCTCTTGATTACTTTCTATGGGGATATCTAAGGGAGCAGGTGTATGTGAACAAATCCTGCACACTTAAAGGGACACTCCAGGCACCCAGACCACTTCAGCTAATTGTAGTGCTCACGGACCTCCAGCATTAGATTTTCCCCATTGGAAAGCATTGAATAATACTTTCCTATGGGGCGTCTAATGCGCGCGCTGCCATTTCTGCGCATGTGCATTAGGTCTCCCCCACGGGATGTCGGCGGGGGAGGAGCATGGGCGGACCTGACCCAGCGCCGAGAGGGGGGGGGTTAGAGGGATGGGGGCACTGCAGGATCCTTCAGTGCCAGAAAAACAGGTTTGTTTTCCTGGCACTGGAGAGTCCTTTTAAGCAACGCAAAGAGAATATGCATGCAGAAAATCTAACATTGGAGCCTCAAACATTAACTAATGTTATGATCAATGCAATCAAAAGGTGGCAAATTGAGTTAATTAAAAAAAATGTCATCTTCCGTACCTAGTCGAACAAATCTCCATATGGTAAGCATTCCTTGTATGCAAGTTCATAAAAATTGAATCTTTAAAATAAAGAAAGAAAGAAAGAAAGACTGACTCCTCAAACTCTACTCTGAATTTTGGCCCACCTTTTATATTTAATTGAAAAATTGCTCTTTTCATTATCACAATAAAGACACAAAAACATTTCTTTCAGTTCTCTTATTGCATTTATTTCTATATAATATATAATCATATATTTATTTTTATTTTTTTTATTTTTAAACGTAACAATTCTCAACTTCAGAAACATCCAGGTCAATATTCAGATTAATAAAATATTGATAAAGCAAAGCCAGTTTACTGCCTCAAAATTTGGAATTTTGGTTCTGTGAATATTTTTTATTTTTTTTCCCCCTTAAATGCAAACGGCTTTTTATTTACTTTTTTGGAGAAATTTTTCTTCTTGCTTATTTTTTTTATTTTTTTTTAATTTTAATAGAATTTTAATGAAAACTGTAAAACAGAAAAAAAAAAAAATCAAAGTGCAAACAATCGCAATTTTTATTTACAGTTCCCTGCTGTGGAAGCTTTGCTAACAGCAGGCGTAGAGGGAGGCAACAGACAGAAAAACAGAGCAGCACTGGGAAATGGAAGAAAAAAAAAAAAAAGTCACAGGGAGAGAGAAAGTTATGGAGCAGCTTGCAAGGTAATTGTATGGAGTACACGCCAGGCATCCATTTTAATTCAAGCAGGAATTAATTCTTCAAAAAGATCATTTTAACATCCAAAAAGTGGATGAAGAAGCGATTCTGCCAGTCAAAAATTCCTTTACATTAAAAACGTTTTTACATAATAGAAAGAAAATGCTTAGAAATCCCATTACTCTCTAACTTAGGTGAAATACTTTCTCAGTTAATTATTGGTTATTGAACGGATAACAAAGTGCACAATGCTTCTACTGAAAGATCAACTTGGAATTGCTCCATAGAGCCTGAAGATGTTCATTTAAATGGCCCAACTAAAAACTTTTATTTAGCAGGTGGGACTTTTCTCAGAGTTGACCTTAAAACCTACAACCAAAACCAGTTTTTAGATGACCGTGCCACATTGTTAGCGCCCCCCCCGCCCCAAAAAATAAAAAAAAATATCACAGTTCACAAACACATCTGAGTTACATCCATCTCTTTACTTAATCCATCAAGAGGCTCCCAATTCACCGTGCATATAACAAACCTAATTCTGCAGGTGTTAAGTTATATCTATTAAGTACATGGCTTTGTTTGGGCTGACAGAGTTACAGGATTCCAAAACTAGAGACAAATTAATGTACCCATCTCTAATCTCCCTTTGAGAGTCAATGTGCTACGACGGACTAAATTGAAATATTTGCATCTCTGTAGGGTCTCATGAATGAAATACATGCGTCTCAAAGACAGAGTCACAATGTGATGTGTGGAACAGACTAAATATCAATGCTGCAAAAGAAAAGAAAAAAAATCCAAAAATCAGGAGATTATCTCCACAGCTGGAAGCTTGAGGACTCTTACAAGGAGACAAAATCTAGTTAAAGAAATAAAATAATGGATTTTTTTTTTATATAGTTTACATTTCACACAAGCAATGAAAAGTACTGAGTACTCGTGAAACAAACTGTAATATTCTCATAAATCACTCACAGCCCCAACGTTAAGACTCTCAATGCAGTTACCGTGGTGGGAAAAAGGTGAAGATGAACCTCAAAGCAGCCAGGACACGGGGACATGAATCTGATAAAACTAGAAGCATATTGGGATAGACGCTGGTTTTAGACGGCTGCTCTTCTTTAAAGGAAAGCATGTGTAATTACAAAAATAATGCTTACTCTCACAACGCCTGCTGACTTTCTTTTATCTTTACAGTCTCTCTCTGAAGCTGTCTCGTCAGACTCTTGACTCTTCTGACTCACAGGCTGCATTGAAAAAATGTATTAAAGTGTCTTCCATATTATATTCACACGAAAGCCAGAAAATCCAAAGTGCAATTTATGCGAAGCATGGGACGCCCCTTTCCAAAAAAAAAACGAATGGGCAGAAGAGGAACTGCTTGGGCTATTTTGTTTTGTCATTTATTTCTTTAAACTATTGTCCTAGAACCTTAATAAAAAGCTGAAAATGTCAGTTAGTAAAGAAGTCCTCTTCATTCCCTATGCTCCTCAGAGGTTGGGTGGTGCAGGCACAACACTCATCCCAGCATGGAGCATGAGGCTGGACGCTCATGAGGGTATGCACTGGACACGGTCAGGACCCTCCTCTTCATCTTCCGAGCTGTCCGAGGAGCTTTGAGAGTCATCAGAATCAGCCTCTCCGGTCACCAAGCCAGGATCTCTTCTTCTCTATAGGCAAAAACAGGAAAAACACATTATGGCGACAACGCATAAAGCGCATTCATACACCTCTGATAAACTTATCCCTGGAAATATGTATTATGTAGTACCATGAGTTAGCCTTATAAGGAGAGAGTACTAAATAAAACTGGCTTCTTAAAAAAAAAAAAAAAAAAAGAAAAGACAGTCTCTAGGTTTTACTGGCTCAAGTCTCAAGGAGCCCTTGCACAGTACAGATCAGGTAAGGAAAGGCAAAGAAATAGGAAATAAAAAATAAAAAAACACAGACATCTGAAATCATAGCTGTGTTTTCATTGGCTGATGGACTCTGAATTCAAGCTACATTCGGGTTGGCTTAAAATGTCATCAGCAACCACCAGTCAGGATAAACTCAAGGGAAACCACAGTCTACAGTGAAATGCTGATTTTTCTGAGACAATAAAAAGTCATATTTCCTAGCTTCCATATAGCTTTCTGTAAATATTTATAGGAATTAAGCTTAACGTGTGGAGTCACTTTAAATAAAACTAACTGTATACATTGTTATAGAACATGTATGGATGAAACGTTTGTTTTATTCTGTGATTCAGCCTTCTCGGGTCAATGGTATAGCATTAAACACTGCAAATAGTTCCACAGGTAGTTGGAGTAACCACTTACCGGGGTACTTCGATTTTACATTTCCCTTAAGGCTGCCTGAGCATCATGGAAGTTAAACTCAGAAACATTGGGCTGCAAGGTTCGTCATGTGTAGGTGTAGATGGCGTTGAGGTGTCACATTGGGCTGGGTTTATATAAATCCCAAACTGTAGCAACTGTTTACATTTTTTTTTTTTTAACCTTCCACAATGGGTTAAATAATACAGTGTAAACAGATTAAACCCTGACAATCTAGCACCTACAAGGGGGCTGAACCAATGCTAATCTAACTAAACAAGCATTTCAGAAATACACCATCTAAGGAGAACACAATAAGTGTCACAAGTGGAGGATGATTAAACAATGTAGTGCCGGCTGCAATCGCGTTTGGAACGATGCACTGGGCACAGAGAATTGAAGCTATACGACAGGTATATGGGCTGGAAGGAGATTTTGAAATAAAAGCCAAGCATAAGATAAAACCACTGGGCTCCTTGTATCTAATGACAACATTTAGGGACCATTTTAGTATACAAAGCTGGTACTTATTAACCCCTTAAGGACACATGACGGAAATATTCCGTCATTATTCCCTTTTATTCCAGAAGCTGTGTCCTTAAGGGGTTAAGACGACATAGGGGGTTTATACACTCAGACAGTAATTGTGGATAATTGATAAAGAATTGCAGATGTTTGTCCAAAGCAGAAAAATGACACTTTTAGGATTTCGCCAAATTACCTATTTTTGGCCTAAAATGCATGACTCTGCTTAGTCGTTCAGGGATAACGACTAAGCACTTCAAATAACCTCAATTTACAGAACGTACTTCCCCCTGCCCTTTTGCTTTAAAGGACTGAATATTTTAGAGGTCGGATTGCATCCCTTGCAAAGAATACACGCTTTGCATCATTAACACAGAGGTATGCAGCTGGTTAAATAGTCTGCTTATCGGTATTCTGAAGAAACCGATGGAATTTGGAATTTAAGGAAATGCAGCGTCAACAAAAAATAAGCATAAATAAATAAATACATTTAAAAAAAAACCCCAAAAACAGCCTCTAACCCCCTGAATACATTTTTACCATTGCACATGAATAACCCACGATAAGGATCTTTACGACTTTCCAGTCCCAAATAAATGCAAACCCTATAGACTCATCGCTGGATATTGTACAGCTGGAAACGTGTATTAATGTTGTAATTCAGTTGCACAGGGACTGCCAACTTCTGTCATACAGGGTGACAAATACATTTTGAACTTGCAATACTATACGTTTTAATATCATTTCTTAACTGTCACCATGGAAAAACTGCTGACCTTTAGTCCAAGGGTTGGCAACACACATGACCTAACCGGGACTAAAGAAGGCAAGGTTGATTATATGTGAGGAACGGGGCACTACATTTTGGCCACGACCGCATAACATGGGATATTTGAGTAGTCAAGGCGACCAGGAAACTCCGGCACTGTGGACATCATACTTACCCTGCGGTGTCCTCTCTGTCGCAGATGGTGCATTAGAAACCATAGCATATGATTATCAAAGAGATCTGTGTGATGTAGACTGTCTTCATCACGCTCTCGCTTATTTTTCTTAATGATCTGTAAGAAAGAACAAAATAAAGTATTTAAAATAATATATAAAAATCATAACAATTTAAAGTCTATAAATACAATGAACATACATGGATTCCATATGTTGGTGGGTCTAGGTTTTGTTTGTGCCCACGAAAAAGTTGAACCCCCACAATATTGACTAAAATGACTAAGACAGTTGACCCTGCGAGCGTATTTGATTTAAAGAGTATTTTCTTAAAATTCCCTTTTTACTTTGCTCATCTTTCCTACACTTCATAATTATTAGCATGCACCCGGCAATATTTTCCTGGCTGGCAGCAGTGAAGTGTTTTCAGCAATTAAGAGTTCACCAAGTATCTTTAAGCAGTCCTGTTTCAAATTATGCTCCCAAAAGAGTGAACAAGTTTTCTTCTGCTTTGGACTCACCTGACTTCAGAGAGCACAGCAACACCATCATAGTAGTTTGCAAAAATCACCATCAAAATCTCCAACATTGATATCACGATGGGGAAGGAATCAGGAGTGCCACACAAGCCACTAGTTTAACTCACCCTTCGTTACTCTGATAATCAAAATATATTTCTATCACCCCTCCAGGTGGTATTTTTGTGTATACCTCATTCTCGGGTCCTCTACCAGAGACCTCGGAGTCTGAGGGTTCTGAAGAGTATTTTAGACGTTCCTAGAACTGTACTCTTTTGGACAGCGATCCCAGATGGAATTTGCAGGAGCACAGCCCTGAGTGCTCCTATTACAACACTACTGCTGCCTCTAATTTCAATCTCTAGCTCCTCTTTCAGTTCTTGGTTATTGTCCACCTTCTCATGTTTCTTCTTCCAGATGTCACTGGGTACTGCCACATCCACCAACACTGCAGTTTTCCGTTACTTGTCTACCACCACGATGTCGGGTTGGTTGGCCACTACTTGCTTGTCTGTTTAGATCTGAAATTCCCACAGGATCTTAGCCCTGTCATTCCAACTACATTTTGTGGTATCTCCCATCTAGACTTGGGCAGGTCCAGCCCATAGTCTGTAGAGATATTTCGGTACACAATGCCAGCAACTTGGTTCTGTCTCTCAGTGTAGATGGTCCCTGCTATCATCTTGCACCTGGCTACTATGTTCTGGATTGTCTCAGAAGTCTCTTCGCACAGTCTGCACCTTGGTCTTGCCTGGTGTGGTAGACTCTCAATTATAATTAACTGATGCTGAGTGCTTAGAGGGGTTAGGATTAGTTAATCAGTGTGGTCTTTCAGTCCTGCATTTTCCAACCACTGGTACGATTTTTTTCATGTGAGCCACATCCACTATCTGCCGGCGGTACACCCCATGGAGAGATTTGTCTTGCCGTGGAAGCTCCTCCTTTTCTGCACCCTAATCTGTCTTAGCAGTTCATCTTTGGGAGCCATCTTCGTAATGTATTTTGCTTTCGGCTGGTGAACAGTCTCTGGGTGCTGGGTTTCAGGTGGAATCCTAGATTCATAGTGAGTAGTTTCTGGGTCTTAACATGAGTGGTGACCAATTCTTCTCTTGGCCAGGTTATTGTATCATCTGGGTACCTGACTAGTAGGGAATGTGTGTTGATCGCTTAGATCTTGTTCTTGCGATTGAGCTGGGACTTCAGGACATGTCTGACTCTGGATGTTATCAGGCATGGAAAAATTGGCACTTTACAGCCCTCACCACTGCAACTGGTGTGCTAACCTAGAGCCCCCTCCTGGACTGAACTTAAATTAACTTTATTGCATTCTGCCCACAGCACTGGTTGTACATCTATAAACATTGTGTGGCTGTCAGTATATGAGCACTGCTAGATCAGTGTACCAATTGTTTTAACAGTATGGTGCACAGGAGGAAACGGTTAAACTTTTCTCCACTTGTTTTGAGAGTCATTTTCTGGAATGGCTCTGGATAATGCCATATGGGTAAGGATGAGCTCAGTGCTGTGCTGACTAATCTCAAGCCCACGCACCAAGTTGATGCTTTTGAAGAACCGTCTTACTCCGAGTAACATTAGCTGGTAAGAGCAAGAAAACAGAAGCTCCTTCACTTACGTCTTTCAGCCCATGCAGTTCAGTCGGTTCCTTGGCCGTAGGGAGCCAGATTTTTACATCATAATCTAGGCCACTGGTGGCCAGGACTGGCAAGTGGGGATGTGGTTCCAAGCAGTTGACCTGTGGAAAGGGAGATGTTTGCTGGTTAAGTTGCAGACCAGCATTAGCATTTCAAAAACAAACACAGACACACAGTTATGAAAATAACGATCGGTGTGTAGAACTGCACTGCAAAGTACACAATCCAGATCTTCGCAGAGAGATTCTGTTGGCATTTGCCCAGTAGAGCAAGCGGATTCCATTCTGTGTATATACCACCATATATGAGCTCTAAGCTCAGTGAACACCGAGAGGATTAGTAAGAAATATGGCCACAATAAAAACACTGCAGATAAATGAAGCACTTAAAATGTAATTGTGCCAAATAATTGGAAGAAATAGCATGTTTACCTGTTGTTCAAATACCTCCCCCAGGCTCACAAAGGAAGCCGGTGTTCTTTCTAAGTTGCCTAATTCAAAAAAATAGCTGTGTACAAAAGTGCCCAGCAATCCCCCCGAGGTTTAATAAGCCAAGACCAAACCGCTTGCTGCAGTTAAAATATAATATTCGTGGGGAGAATTGGTTTTATTCTAAAAAATAGCAGCTAGTGTACAATGCAGGGGATATGAGTTGCGCAGATTGGATTAGCGCTTTCTGGAGTAATGCTAAATAAATTGTTTAAAACAAGAGCTTTTGGATTAAGCTGGAGATAAACAGCAGAAACCTTTCTCCAATGAAATCTCTAGATTAATAGCTTGATGTAGTCTCCAAACCTGCACATTTTGCAGCTGGCAAATTGAAAACGGACTGGAAATATTCTATTGGGATGAAGGAAATCGATTAAGATCTGTGTTTTAACCAACCCCTTGCATTGCAGCTTCCATTTATCACTACAAAAGGGCATTATATTGCTTAAAGGAACACTATAGTGTTAGGAGTACAAATACAGTCTCATCCAGGAAGATCCACCTCTTTGGCGGATATCAATGTTGATGATCTCGGCCAATCCGCAAGCTTGAGCAGCAAAACACCACACTGTGCTAATCAGATGGTCCTCTGAGACCATCTGACTAAATTAGATTTTTACTCTGCTTTTTTATGGAAGCACCTCTACTGGTGTTCATACTGACAGCCACTACAGGCACTGTAGAAATGGTCTGAGTGCCTGTAGCGTTTCTTTAAAAATCCCTAAAATATAACAAGAGTGGTGTACTTTAATGAACCATGTCATGTGGTCTATACATTGTGTTCCCAAACAGCTAGCAAATGCATGCATCATAGAATTTAAAGAAAAACACTATGCTGTGAGTATACAAGTGTATGTCGGTAACCCCTGTTGAAAACAGAGCACAACCCAGAATTCCCTCATTGCTTTGTGTGTGCAATCCCTATTCAAGTTGGATATATTGAAACCTGTGGAAGAAACATTAAATCTCCCTAGAAAGGTTTTTAATCAAACCTATCCCAAATTAGAGGAACGCTGAAGCTTCATACAAAACACGTGACCCCAACAATTGTTAGCAGTTCAATATGAATTGCAAGTTTCAGGCCAAAATAGGTGAATCTGAAAAATTCAGCAAGTCAGCCATGTTTTCAATCGCTTCAGAATTTAAGCTTTCCTTTAGTACTCTATAATTCATAAATGGTTAAAGGGACACTATAGTCACCAAAACAACTTAATGAAGTAGTTTTGGTGTATAGATCATTCCATTGCAGTATCACTTCTCAATTATCTGCTGTTTAGGAGTTAAATCACTTTGTCTATAGAGTCCTAGTCACACCTCCCTGCATGTGACTTAAACAGACTTCCTAAACACTTCCTGTAAAGAGTCACCTAATGTTTACACTTCCTTTATTGCAAATTCTGTTTAATGTAGATTTTCTTAACTCCTGCACTGTTAATAGCTTGCTACACTTTGCAGGTACTTACTGTATGTAATTGATGTACAATTACATACAGTACAGGATATAAAAGTGTTTATACTAAGATACATCTGATTGAAAGTAAAGCCATTTTTTTTCAAGCGGGCTGTGTCAGTCAGAGCCAGGGGAGGTGTTGCTAGGGCTGCATAAACAGAAACAAAGTGATTTAACTCCAGAATGGCATTGAATTGAGCAGTTATACATCACAGGTATGATCTATACACCAAAACGCCTTCATTAAGCAAAAGCTTTTTTGGTGACTATTGTGTCCCTTTAAAGACTAGCTTAAGAATCAGCAATGTAACTGAGAAAGTTCTAAAAATGTGCAGAATAGGAAACGTGCTACAGATTTTATATTTGAGGATCTTAATGATAACCATCACTATTTCCACTGTGAAAACGAGGTGAAGAGATTTAGGAAATACTCACCACGCCGCCCTTGTCACCATCCATGAACTGTACAATCTGACAGGAGGATTTCTCCCAGAGGAATATGTGACCGCAATCGCTGCCGCTAACCACAAACTCGCTGTTCGGGCCGTAAAAATTCACTCCTTTCACTGAAAAGAGAAAAACAAAAATAAAAAATAAAAAGTTATAAAAGAAGCATGTAAAAAAATTATAAGAGCTGGAATATATACCAATTGCACTTTTTGAACATTTGCAGCCTGTTAGATGGAATATTTATGTGCTGGCAATATTGCATATAAGATTTAAGAGAATTTCAGGAGACAGGTCCACTTCACATCATGTGGATGACAGGCAAAGAATAGTCAGCTGGCACTATCAATCACAGCCAGCCATTGCTGTTACGGCTAATGCTTCCTCATTAGCACAAGCAGCACCGAAGGGATGGGTTACTGGGGACTCTCGTTTAGTACTAAAACATTAAAAACAGTTTCATGCTGAATGGAAGGACTTCACTAAAGGACTCCAAAGACTATAACCACTTCAATTAGATGAAGCAGTTATGGTGCCTACAATGTCCCTTTAAAGTCTGTATTTGTAGATTTGCCAATAATGGGCTCTAAAGTAGTGCCAATATTAATTCACAACGACACTCAGCCTGAAGGGCTAAATGAGAGTCCCCAGGGGTGAAACAGATCTGCCTAAAAAGGGTTGTAGACTAAGACAGTATGACAACATAACTGATCATTTCCTATTTAAAATAGAAATATTAATTATTTTATTAATAAAAATAAAACAAGTTTAATACAGTCTGATTATATGTTAAATTAGAATGGATAAAGAGCATTTATGGCCATACACAATTCAAGTGGCTTAAACAGTGAATAATGCACAGTGTTACGGATTCACAGATATGTTTGGTCTTTATTTTTTGCAGTCTTTGGTTAGAAAGGGCAAGGCAGGAGACAAGGAAGGTTAGATAAATGTATGCATTACAGATTAATACACAGAGGCTGTTACACACGTCTAAGCTTGCTTAAGAGCTGTACAGGAAACTTGTCCATACTTCCCAGCTAGCAAACGAAAGGCACTGGAGGAGGACTGACGATTTGCATGGTTAGTTCCCAATCGCCTCTAGGTTACAAATGTTATAACTGCTGGCCAGACAACATTAAAAGGACACGGCTTGGTGTGGGTGACTAACATGAGAGGTGGGCAGCCAGGTACTTTGGCGATTCCCTAATGAATTAGGAGCTCTGGACACCAGGAGGCTATGCTTGTGGTTCTACTGACGCGAGACGTAGCACCACACACAACAGGAAAAGTAATAAATAATAATAATAGTAAAAGGCACGTTTACTCCCCCTGCTGGATTTGTTTCAAAATTAGTCACATGAAAATACCAGCTACTTCAAATTATTTTTTTTAATTTTTTTTTTTTTTTTATAATAAATTAAAATAATAAAAACCCAACAAACACCCAAAAGATACAAAATCAAAATGACAACCAAACATAAATGCAGAGCGTGGGAAATCTTTGAAATCGATTTACTAGAGAAGGTTTAGCCATCAGGTAGCAGCACACCAATAGCACATCAAGAGAAATTACAGAGAGGGGGATGGGATCACCACTTCGCAATCTGAGAAAAATCACACATCCCTTCACAGGCTGCAACGTTCCAGGATTTTTAATGAAGACTAAAGTATTAAGAAATAAAACTCATTATAGGCCTGCAATTCTCTTCTGCCCCCACTTTTTCTTAACTGCTTGTCTCTTCAAATATCACGGTTCCCTTTCTTATCCAATATTTAAAGGACTGGGCACCATAACAACTTAAATCTGGATGAAGTTGTTATGGTGCCAGGAAGTAGGGGGTAACCCTAAATGATTGAATCCAGCCTTATTTAGTGCCGTACTACCTTTCCGTTTCTCTTTACGTCTTGAAACAGGAGGCCTTGGACAGTGGTCAGCTGATGCTCTAAACCAATCAGTAGATCCCCATTCACAAAAAAGCTTGAGAAAACAAACATTTTTCTCAAGCGTGTTTTTTTTTTACGAATGGGGAGCTACTGATTTGTTTAGTGTCAGACACTCTAATCCAATCAGCGGTGCCACTGTATAAGGCGTCCTGTTTCAAGAATTGGTTTGACGTCTTACCTGGGCTTCACCAGTGCCACTGCACGCGCACACTACTTCCAACAGAGAGACAGAAGTTCCTCAGCAGAAACTTCCATTAGATTCCTGAGCTAAGCTCGCTGGCGAACTATCTGCTGATATGGTTATGGTGCTTGGAGTGTTGTTCTAAATAAGTGCTAAACTAATTAAATTATATTTAAAGTAAGATTTAGCTCTCCTGCAGTCATTTGTTTTACAGAAACAGGCAATAATATAACTGGACGTTGTATATGACACTAGAGTAGCTATGTCAGTAGCATTTCTAAGGGGTTAAAACTTGCACCCAATATACTGATTATATAACAGAAGAGTTAACTGCAGCCAGTGGTAAGTGGATTGGAATATAAACCTTGATATTATGAATTTGGAGCGGAAGCAGAATAATTATAGGGTAAGCCAGCCTGCTCCACCTTAAGAAATCCTGTGGATCATAGCCCTAACCTCTCTCAAATGTACTATTCCAACAAATCTAGAGACACAGAGCCCCTTGGTGGATAGGAGGTAACTAAATACAATGTATATAGCAGTGCAGATAACCACGCATCAGAAAAAGGATTTTGCGAACAAATAGGTGTTGTCTAATACAGAGCTCAAAATGTGAACGTTTACATTTATTGATATTATCTCGTCCACTTTGACACCACTAATTCTCCCCTCTCCCCAATATAATTAATCTAGCCCCCCACCGCATATTTTATGTAAAGGGACTCTATAGGCACTAAAACAACTATAGCGTAATTTATGAAGCGGCTTTTAGGTATAGACCATGCCCCTGCAGTCCAACTGCTCAATGGCTCTCTACCATTTAGGAGTTCAATCACTGTTTCTGTAGCTCTATTCACATCTCCCTGCGTGTCACTTATACAGCCCTCCTAAACACTTCCTGTAAAGTGAAATTAGAGTTAATTTAGAATGTCTCATCTCCTGCTCTGTTAATCCAACCACCATGACCACTTCAGTTTTTCGGAGTCAGTATTGACAGAGTTTCTGCTTGAAACACTGTATATCCAGAGATATCTGTAATTGTGGGCTGGGGGTTGTTGCACTTATGAAGTCCAGAACTCAGTTCCAGGCAGCCAATGTCAATAATGTGCATAAATTACATCTGTTGTCAGCATGCACTTGTGAAAGAATTTACCTTGATTCCAAGGTTCAAGCTTATAGGTGTCATATTAGATAGCCTATATTAAAATTGGCTAACTTGGACTCAGGAAATGCTTAATGCTTAAAACGACACTTAAGACCATATATGTCTAGTTCCGGGACAGATAACCCCAGCTCCTAAATCAGTCTGTTCCTTCTTTCCCTGAACTTATCTGTTCTATGTACATGACGTTCATCCCTATGTCTTATCTGTACTCCTTCCCTGTTATTTCACTCCCTTCCCATTACTGTTCTATGAGTATTTGCACGTAAGCACTTACTTTTTAACGTATAAAAGCACAAACTGATAAACTAAACGTCAGAGGCTTATTTTGATAACCAACACGAGTCTGGTGTCTGATTCACGCTTCTCCCAGTGCACTTGATACAATTTGGGTTCCCCTGAACATAAAGATCGATATTGGATCTATAACACTGCCCGCTGACAGATGTCAAAATCTTCCCCTTGCAAGCAGAACGCCTACAAGCTCTCCAGCAAAATGGTCCAATCACAGGCGTCTGTGTAAGAAGCCTGTAATTGGTTCTCATGTGGCCAGAGTATAAATTGAGAGGGGGGACCTTCCCAATGGTGCCTAGAAGGGGAAATATAAAGCCAAAAGGGTCCCTCTCAAAAGGTAACCCTGTAATGGGACACCCACATGGGGCATTAACAGACCTTTTATAACTTTTGGCATAAATATTTAGAGAATATATACGGTATATAACAATAGGTTTTAAAACATTCTTCATTCCTCCTCCCAAAGAATATGCTACTGAATAAGAGGCGTCAAGAAGACAAAGAGAAAAAAAAAAGTGTTAGTTTCAACCTTAAGTTTCCCTATAAGTAGCAAATCTACAGGTACAGACGCCTTCCGTGGCTTCCTGGCAGTCATGGGTGGAATGTACTGGTGAAGAGCATCCCATTCCACAACAGAGAAGCATTGAACCTGTGTTGCATATAAAGTTCCACAGGCTGTTCTAACTAACCGGGATCTTCATGTTGGGTGAGGAAGACTGTCAAAAGAGACACTCAATGCATTTAAACCAGCCGCTGCTTAGAAAGTGGTGCAAGGAAGTCTCCTGATTCTGTCTGCATGCTGAGCTTAGCTTAGAACGGCAGGGATTTGAAACAATCCCACTGCTTTGTTTCTAGATGTCACAGAAGGAAATTAGATCTCCATTTCTGTCCATACGAGTATTAAGAAATGAGACCGCATTTGTTTCAGCAGTTCTAAACACCTTATCTGATGAATGGAACTTCTTCCAGTGGCGGAACTGAAGTTTGAGCTTTAATTCAGTTAAGAATCCGCTACCTCCAATTGACAATGCAACGAGGCTTCTGCACAGGCCACTGTACAGGCATGCATGTGCACTGCTGTCCCGACTTCTGTGCAAGCCTAAAGCATTGACACACATGTATGCACTCCCTCGGCGGCTTTGGCGCAAGCCAGCCAGCTATAACCCATATATGCACCTTTCTCGAGGCTCCGGCACAAGCCCAGCCATCGACACACATGTGCACTTCCTTTTTTTTTTATGAAATAAAAAATCTACACAAAAAAAAAAATATACGACACACATGAAGGTGTTGGCTACACATCCTATCTTTATATTGTTTAAAGTTAACACTTAAAGCTGTTTAGTTTTTTATATAAATGTAAAAGCCCTGACAGAAAGGGACCGCAAGGAAGTATTCTGAACAGTTACAATACCATCTAACAATCCATTCTCTTCTTTCTGTATTACTATGTAACTATTGTAAAACGCGAATTTTGGCTTCTGCGTAAGCCCAAGTACTGTTCTCAAGGCTGAATTTTCTGTCATTGAAAATAAAGAATTAAAAAAAAAAAAAAAGAATCCGCTACCTGCAGTATATTTCTCTCTGCATAGAGGAAAAAAAAAAAATGTCTGACTTGCAAGGCTGTGCCAGCTCATGCTGGCCAAAGATATATAACTCTGTCAAACCTGAGCTGGCACAGTCTATGCAAAGTATGTCCAAGGAAGGGAACACAAGCCTGCAGATTTCTAATCTCTGCAGAGTGTTAAACAGCCGCTGCCAACTATACTGCTAGAAGGGTCAGTCTATGCAACAGAACTAAAGGAGACCCCCAGGGCACTGTCCTCCGGTAGCTGACAAATCCCTGAACGGTTTGACATTTATTGGTCCCCTCCTGTCTCCTTCAGATCAGTCCCTCTTCTGATAGATTTAAACCAAACACAGATTTATAATGCAGAAAAGTAATTTTGTCATTACAGTGCAATTGCAGAGTGGGAGGGTTATGGATGGAACCAGTAAATCGTGCTTTGACAAAAAACTATAGGGAGCCCTCGTAAACTCAACATCTTGAAGTTGTAGTTAAAGTGGGCTTTTTTCTATAGCATTACAATTTTGTTGGCATAGAAAAAGCTTTCTTAAATCACCACTTTCTCCATTTCTTCCTTATTTTTTAGGAACTTTTTAAACACAGCGCTGTCAGCATCTGAGATCTTTGTACATTTTTCAAACACCCCAATGGTGACATCTCCGCTTGGTGTGCAAGTGCCCAGGGGTGCAGCGCAGGTGATATGCCAGGAGCCCACATCAGTGATGCATGCATCAGATTATACCACTGAGGTCTACGGAGAATCCAATGAGTCCTCAGGAGCCTACATAGACATTGTCTCACAATCAGCAGAACAGTGCCTTCTTCCCTCAACCATCCCTAGAGACAGCTGGGGGATCTGACAAAACTTGATGGCTGCCGTTCTGCCTTTATCAAGCAGACAAAAAATAGCCCCTTACTTTGTCTTATGATATTTTTTGACTTTTGTGGAATTTCAGTGTTGAGCACAGTCAATGTGAATTTTCATAAAGATGTTATATATATTGTTTATGTACATCTTGGTTTTACTTTAATGCATTGGCTGGGCCTTGCAATACCATGTGGCGTAGGGTTAAAGGACCTTTAAGGGATCCTAGTTATGTGGCAGATGGTGATATAGAATGTCTTTCTCCGTCTAGACTTAATGAAGTGGACTATAAATAGATTTTCTATTTCAGCTCAGAAAGAAATGAAGACAGAAAGATAAATGTCCCCAAATATTAATTCAATGACTGTCAAAGTGCTGCTCCAGGACGGCTGCAAAGGGACACGTTTTAAAGAGGAAGCATCACTAGAAGTTAAAGGTGTAAATACAACATGTGTAAATGAACATAAACTAAGGGAAGTAGAGCAAAAAGGAAAGATATCACACATACAATTTTATCCAAATGAAGCTAGCTTACGAATACAGCGGAGGGAGGGGTTGATTAGTTAAACCAAGTGTGTACGAACAGACTGCTTTCTCGCAACCTTTCATGTTGTATATGAAAATAACAATTGTATGACACCCTACCTGTGGCGTTATTTCGGTGTCCTTTGTATCGTTTGATGTACTCTGCACCATCGCTGTGAGAAGAGTTAAATAGGTATATGTCTTCATCGTTATAGCTGGCGAGGAGCTCTGGGAAAGAAAAGAAAGAATCTTTACTGATCCTAGTTAAAAGGTTTATGTATTGAGCGCACAATGTGGGTTCAGTCTATTAATGCAAGAAAGTCAAGGGTCTAACTATGATGACATCTGCAACAGTCAATCCCGTATTTGTGTGGACCCCGGTAAATATGCACAATGCCTAATCCAATGATGGACATAATGGAGCGGGGCTGCCAAGACTTCTCGGTTCCAATGATATCGCTGGATTTATTTATATTTTAGCAGATTACAGGGGGCAAGTTACCTTTTATGCAAGTAAAAGGTTAACCAAAGATCACCTTGCTTTACAACTGGGAAGAAACTGGGATATAAAATATAAAATTGGAGAAAAAAAAATTATTAGATCACACCTTAGAGCGTAGACATTACATTTCCTGCAATGTAAATACAATATCCTCTCATGGCCATTGGAGGTAACTAAAAAAAAAACTCCATTTGTTTAAAAATACATAGGGATTAAGGAGAGAGTGCAGGTAACGTGTTTTTCTTTGGTTTTTACTAAATACAATATGTTCCTGTTATAGGGTTGAACTATAAAACCAGGATGTGACAGAAGCTCCCATGCCACGGCACTTTGGAAAGGGTTAAAGGCCAGCATTCTGCCCACGGATTATGGGCCTAGTTCAATGAGCACGTAAAAGGGACTATTGTCACAGTAGGAAGGGGTATGGGAGCTCAGAACGCTTACTGTGCTTCCCAGATGGACCTCTGGGGTTCGCCTAGATTCACATTACACCTTGAGTGCCTGACTGGAAGATACCCTGAATTACTCCAGAACTGTTCCTCAATCGGGACTGTGCAGAGGTTCGGTCAATCTTTAAGCAGGTATCGCTCGGTCCTCTGACCACCAAACAAAGCATGCTATTTGGAGGGGAGCAGGCAGGCAAGAAGGCATCGGAGGATAACTGGGACTTGAGTGTGCTCCCTTCCCCAGAGGTTCAGACACCCCTTTTTGGAGATCGGAACCAAGACACTGCATGCCTGGAACTAGTTACCGGATCGGAGAGTAGCTGCAACCCAATAAAACTTTAACACGCTGTAGTTTAAATTCTCCCATCAGTGAGGGTGCTCAGTGACAAGCCTTCCAGGGTATATATTGTGTGGGGTACAACAAAGGGAAAGGGGTTCTGTGCCTCAAAGACTATGCGGGCACAGCAGGGACCGATTGTATTAACTGGGAATAATGTAATTAGGTCTCCAGACAAAGTGGTGCTGGGGAGGTACAACAGTACTGTATATTGTATTGTATGGAGCTGTGTGCCGTGTAATAAAATCTCACTCGTCTAATGTGTGGGAGAAAGCTATAGTCTCTGCTTTACAATAAATCACTGCAGCATAGACTGATGGAAGAGGACCTCATAGACCCCTGTCAAGCTTTGGAGACTGGGTCTGAAGTGCTCCAGAGACCCTGGTAGCAGCTAGGAAACTGACCTGGTGGAGGTAAAGTATGGGATCTCCGTCACATGGGATATCTAAAGCCACAGAAATAAAACTCATGTGCAATATGTATGCGCGCGTCACAGAGCAATAAAACATGTGGTAACTGAATATATAATCACAGAGATCCATGATGTATTCAATGTAACGTTTTGAGATGTACTCACCTCACCTCCGATCCAGCGTCGCCATGTCCTGCGCTTTATTGGTGTTAATTCACATCTGCTCTCGCTCCTCCAGTGGTCTTCCTTAATTCGCCCTATTTGAGTAAGCTTCTCAAGCAGAGCAACTCTCCTCTGTGATGCCAACATGCTGGCTTTGTTACCAGAATGCTGGCGTCTGACCATTTCTGTACTCCCTAGCAGCAACAATTAGGGAGTTAGCATAGCAAGTACAGCGCATGCACGGCAGTTGCCATGTGTGGAGCGCAACCTATGGTCTCTTCTTCTCAGAGCCCATGATGAAGAACTAGCTGATGTGGGATTTAAAACATTTTTTAAAAAGCTTCTGGAACAGTTTTTTCGCTCTCTCAATCTATAACTTTGCTAGCATGATTTATACATGAAATGGTCTGCTCTTTAAAAAAAACAAACAAACAAAAAAAAAAAACATAAGTTGTAAGTATCATGAAGGTACCTTTATAATTACTTATCCACCATAAAATGGACAATGTTGCCATCTTTTAGGGCATGTTTCTTTAAGAGAATGCCCTGCACCCCCAGCTAAGATAAAGTTAACAATTGAAAAGGCAAAGAGAATAATTACATTTATAGCGTCCTTAGAATTATTTGCATAGTAATTAGCATCCAGTGTGATTAACCAGTGTTCCAGCTTTCCAAAAGAAAAAAAAAAATCCTTATTGCAAAGAAAGTTCATTATTACATTATACGGTATGCTGAAAGGAGGATCTGACAGATAGCTGAGCTGTTAAAGAAGAGAAACACTGACAAAGTGCTTCCCAACATTCACATACAGAGGAGGGAAGACAGTGGGTTATAACAGCACTGCAAACCTTTCATCCACTGACCTTTGAGATACATTATAACCATAAATTGATATTACGCAAAGAGTAAATGAGACCATCAAGAGGCACCTATTAATCTCAGGCGTTCATAGAGAAGAACCATAGGCAGCCCTTCTACATGAATTGAGAGAAACCCTTCAACAAAAATAGGCTCAATAGCAGGGTCACTGAGTTATGGAACCACCTGGGCCAAGGAGAACATTTACAGTTAATGAGCAATTCAAAGCCGAGACGGACGTACATACCTGTGCCATCGTGACTGTACACCAGACAGGTAATGTTTGCCTTGGCCTCGCTTGTGACCTGCAACCACAAACACAATCTGATGAGTACGTATTGCACAGGAATGAGGGATTAAAAGATAGCAAATTTCTATTTCATATTTTTAATATTCCTGTGTACACAACCTAGAAGATAAATGTACGTGGATGTTGTCAGATTCCAAGCAGATGTGTATAATTACAATTTACTGTATAATGGAAGCTGTTGACGTTATCCTAGCGGGGGTTCATCGCAGGAGGATATCTGAGCAGAGACAGATCTGCTTTAAACATAAATTGTACGAGAGCCAAAGATCATGCGGCTCATTTTACTCATCACTTTACAGTAACTTCCCATCAGTACAACACAACCTCTGTTCCATAGGTACATCAATTCTCATTTTATTTCTCTCTTTTTTTTATTGAAATATCTTTTTCCTGACGTGACATTCATTTTTGGAGGAGGGGGGGGTGATGGGAGAGAGAGACTGGCTCACGTAAAGGATTACTATAACCCTTTCTTACGAAATGTTTTAAAGGGACATGCATCACATTGAGACAACAATCTCATTCAAAAGCTTTATATTTTTCCGGGCTTCTTCTTGCTTATGCTTTTCACACACACTCCAGTAGGGACACTGATCTAATCAGTGTCCTATTCCTAGGAATGCTGAGGAAAAATGCATCTGGCATTACTGACAGAATTACACATGCGCAGTTAAAAAAATCTCTTCATCTTGCAACATCCTTACAGGGGTAGAAAAGAGGGAGTCTGATCAGTGGGGTCATGTAGTGGTGTTGTTGGGTTTTTCTTCACAAGGATGCAGTTTCTGTCGTTAGCGGACTGGTCTCAAACTTAGATTGGTGGTGGAGATAAAGCGACTCCCAATAATGCTAACAGACCATATAAATAGGAAGTTTATTACTGGATACAAGCAAACATAGGTTGTTTTATTACTTACCTTTCAAGGTTTTTCTTGTTTTATTTTGGTTTGTACAGATATGTTTAAACGTGTTTCCTTGCTGGTTTAAAAAAAAAATAGTTGTCAAGTGATGCATGTCCCTTTAATTTATAATGCCCTATTCAACCCCTATTTCTAACCCCAACTCCCAAACCTGTGTATAAGAACTAAATATAAAAAAAAACACAACAAACAAGTTATTTGGAATTCAGCATCAAGCAAAGACACCTTCGCTGACTTCCACATTCTATCCAGCGTGACGTTTCCCTCTCTGTGGTCCAATCAAATGCTTCTTATGAGAGAAGAATCTGACTGGTCCCATCTCCCTGGATTAGAGCCGGGTAGGAGAGAATTTTAAAGAGGGAGGGGAAATGCAGGCTTCCCTTGCAGACACACAAGGTAGAATCTCACGTCTGTATTTCTGCACAGAATTGAAAGATATCCAGGCTGCCTATCAATTTGCACAACAAAGTACAAATAATTCTGTATGCAGAGCAGAAAGGCTGCACATTCCTACAACCACTAAAAGCGAGATGTAGCAAGCGCTTTACATGTTTGTTGGCACAGGGGTAGTGCCATTTATACTAGCTATAGTAGGCTTGGATTAAATAAGAGCCCCTACCACCATACCCATCTACAGTAGTACCTCAATATAAATTACACCAGTTACCCCGTTAAACCAGACATACTCACACATACTGGAATATTACGCTCATAAACCTCCCACTCCCTATACATAAATACTAGCACATCAACAGTAGGTTAGACTTTCCCATATATAAATAATAATAAATATAGAACATACAGGCCTCTCATACAAACTCAGATATATACAGCATGTGCTTAGAATTAGATTCTCCCATGGCTTACAGTCACAGCCTCTCACACAGATATATAGACACCTTGTTTAAAGCCTAGGTACTACCATTTCAACTCTAGACCCTTTAATTTTAATATTCAGCTTTCCCACCTCACCTCCATACCTCTGGTTCGTCTGTAGCTGCAAGCTTTTAAGCCACACCATATTCAATCCCCACGTTCATGCATTAAAGCTCTCACATCTCTACTTTTTAGTTGTAAATCTCTAGGCTGCCTATTCCTTCTCCTCCAGACCACTAGTGAGGAGCACAAAGGCTTCCACTGATCCCATGTGGTATTTATACTTTCAGCTACCGCTCAGTCTCTTCTTCTGATATATCCTTCCTAGCCAAGTGTCATCAACTCTGGCTGCTACGCCCTTATTCTGATATCCCCATCTCTCTGGCCCTGACACAGGTACACAGATGATGTCAGACAGGGAACAGTACACAGACCCTTTGGGAAGCTACTGCTAAGAATGGCCATTGTAAGAGGCTTTATTTACACCTAGTTGTAAGTCATGCAATGCATTTTTTGTAAATATTTTCTGGGGTTTGAACAAACTAGTCACTGGGCAGTATTAGTCTCAGGCACAAAGTCCCAGTATGCCAAGAGTGCAGGACATTAACATAACTTCACATTAAATGCGGTCTGAGCTGCACCAGATCTTGACTGTAATATAGCTTTTTAAAACTGCAGTTAATGCGTTTTGAAAACAAACATGGATTTCTTTGTCAGGTCATAAGTGACTGTCTATACAAACATTTACACAAGTGAACAGCAAGTCACTAGTCAGGAGAACACACACTGTACTCTTGTATTGATTAAGCTTTTTCAACAATGTGATTCCTCCACCTCCACAGGACTGACACAGGACAAAAACCCTGACATTTTTATAAATCTATTGCAGAGTCCGCACATAAGCAGAAAACTAGCAGTTTAGTTAAAGGGACACTATAGGCACCCAGACTACTTTAGCTTATTGTCAGTTAAACAATGCATTTTTAAAGTATTGCAGTTATTGATAAACTGCAATAATAACACTGCAGGGTTAACTCCATCTCTTGTGGTAGTCTATCAGTCAGTTACGAGAGGCGCTTCCAGGTGGTTAGGTGAATTTTTGTCACCTGCCACAGGACGTCCTTAAGCTGTGCATGAGGACATCTAGTATCAGCTAAAACACCACAGGAGAGTATTGATTCAATGCTGTCCTATGGGGTGGTCCTAATACGAGCGAGGCACTGGCCGCACATGTGCAAAAGGTCCCCGACATCAGGTGCTGGATTCAGGTAAGTGACAAATGGGTTCTGCGGTGCGGGGGGCACGCAAGTGAGGAGCACACTATAGTACTAGGAATTCAACTTTGCATTCCTAGCGTTATAACTTCCCTTTAAGAGAAGACATCTGCATAGACACTTGGTGACCCTGCACACAGGGCTAGAGAAGCTGGTTACGTAGGAGCATTATAGCATTATTGGCTTACCAGTTAGCTGAAAAGAAATCAAAGAAATACATGCTCAGTGTGTATTTCATTGCTTTTAGTTATTGATCTCTGTGTGGTGTCTGTTTTGTCAGAGCAGCACCAGTGTCGCAGTATGGTTAAGTAAAGTAGACCAATTGGGCTTGGGGAGTCGCGGTGTGCGGAGAGGCCAATGGCGGTTCGCAGGCCGCTTCGGAGTTATGGAATAAGTCACGGTTATCTGCCTGACTATTCTACCCCAGCAGCTGGCAGGTTGTAAAATTTCTTTGATTTCGTTGTCAAGTTGTGAACTAAGAAATAAAACGGTCGACGATGCACTCATTAAGATTAACAGAGTAACTTTGACATGGGTCAGCAGTCACGTTTATATATGTTCAATACATTGTGTGTAGAACAAGCTGGAGTGGCACTTTGGGCACTATGTCAGCAAAAGCACAGTGGACAAAACGTAGGTGCCCATTATATTAGTAGTATGGTATATGGAGGAGTATGTAGTCCTCTCCCTTTTAAAATTTAGGAAATGGATTAAATTATTAGTAAGTATTTATGTTTCCAATTAGTATTTTAAAAATAAAGTAAATCATAACAAAAACTCACAAGGTGATGCGGACAAAATTTTTTCAACACGCCATTATTTTCATTTTCATTTATTTTCCGCTGATCGTAGATCCTTGGTGGAAGGAGAAATAAGGAAAAATAAACAAAAACTCTACAATTCGTAAAATACATTTAGCAGTATCTACCAGTACTCTTTATCTCTAGGAACGGACACTTCCCATGACTTTAATATGTTGATGCATCCCTTATATTTTGCAAACGTGTGTTTGTAAGGTCTAAAAACTAATTTAAAGGGACACTAAAGTCACGAAAACGTTATCTTAATGAAGCAGTTTTGGTGTATAGATCATGCCCCTGCAGTTTCACTGCTCAATAATCTGCCATTTAGGAGTTAAATCACTTTGTTTATGCAGTCCGAGTTGCACCTCCCTGCAAGTAATGTGCACAGCCTTCCTAAACACTTCCTGTAAAGAGAGCTCTAATCTTTAAACGTATGTTTAATTCAGAATTTCCTATCTCCTGCATTGTTAGTAGCTTGCTAGACCTTGCAAGAGCCTCCTGTGAATGATTAAAGTTCAATTTACCAGTGGGAAATAAACACTTCTAAAGTAAATTAACATCGGATTAAAAATGAAACTTTTTTTATACATTCTGTGCAAGTCACAGTCAGGGAACGTGTGGCTAGGGCTTAATAAAACAGAAACAAAAGTGATTTTAACTCCTAAACTCCAGTGAATTGAACAGTGAGATTGCAGGGGCATGATATATACACATCAAAACTACTTCATTAAGCTTAAGTTGTTTTGGTGACTATAAGGGATTGTCAATGTTTTGTTCAAATGTGTAAATTCTAGGGAAATTACACTTCTCTTTAAAAACCTTGTGTGTTTATATATAAAGAAAATAATACTTTGAGATAACTGCCTCATTCAAAAGCTTTTGCTTTGAGTGCCTTAGTTGCTTCACTGCAGACTGAAAAAGCAGATTAATAATTTTTTTCATATATACCACTTCTTTATTATGTTTCAACACCCACTCCAGAGTGGACACTGACCTAATCAGTGTCCATAGGAATGCTGGAAAAGTGCGTTGGGCATTCCTGACAGATTTACACAGTTTAAATATCTTTTAATCTTGAAAAACCCTAACACAAGGAGAAGAGATGGAGTTTAATCCGTTGTCGGGTTTCTTTCTCCTGCTACTGCACAATGACGCCATGTTTCTATCATTAGTGGACTGGCCTAAAATCGGAGTGCCCAACAATGCAATCTGACTAAGTTTATATATTGTGTAATTTGTTTAAAATGTTTGCTATAGGTTATAAAAATTAGTAATCAAGTGATGCATGTCCCTTTAAGACCTTTAAAAAAAAAATTATTTTTCCCCCACTATTATTTTGCCGTTCATACATTTAAATTATGTTGATTTCCATTTTTTCTGTTTCAAATCATTAAGGAATAGCCTAGTTTACAGAAAATACAAAAACATGATCAAATATTTTGCTAATCTAGAAAAGATTTTTATAGACAATTTCTTATCTTACAAAATGTTAATACAAACATTATGTTAACGAGTAGTCAGATTTCATAGACGTGCACATGAACCCGCTATTGTGTTCTTTTAAGTTTCTTCCTTTCAAGCCTTCCTGGCTGAGATTGTCAAGATTGATGATCTCAGATGATCCAATACTTCCCCATAAGAACGCATTGGAAGGCTAGAGAACATACAGTTGCAAGAAAAAGTATGTGAACCCTTTGGAATGATATGGATTTCTGCACAAATTGGTCATAAAATGTGATCTGATCATCATCTAAGTCACAACAATAGACAGTCTGCATAAACTAATAACACACAAACAATGAAATGGTGCCATGTTTTTATTGAACACTCCATGTAAACATTCACAGTGCAGGTGGAAAAAGTATGTGAACCCTTGGATTTGTAGTTGCAGATCAGACGTGCCCAACGGTCAGGAGTAATTCTTGACCATTCCTCTTTACAGAACTGTTTCAGTTCAGCAATATTCTTGGAATGTCTGGTGTGAATCGTTTTCTTGAGGTCATGCCACAGCATCTCAATCGGGTTGAGGTCAGGCGTATTTTCTTCTGTTTAAGCCATTCTGTTGTTGATTTACTTCTATGCTTTGGGTCATTGTCCTGTTGCAACACCCATCTTCTGTTGAGCTTCAGCTGGTAGACAGATGGCCTTAAGTTCTCCTGCAAAATGTCTTGGTAAACTTGGGAATTAATTTTTCCTTCGATGATAGCAATCCTTCCAGGCCCTGATGCAGCAAAGCAGCCCCAAACCATGATGCCCCCACCACCATACTTCACAGTTGTGATGAGGTTTTGATGTTGGTGTGCTGTGCCTTTTTTTCACCACACAGTGTGTGTTTCTTCCAAACAACTCAACTTTGGTTTCATCTGTCCACAGAATATTTTGCCAGGACTGCTGTGGAACATCCAGGTGCTCTTGTGCAAACTGTAAACGTGCAGCAATGTTTTGTTTGGACACCAGTGGCTTCCTCTGTGGTATCCTCCCATGAAATCCATTCTTGTTTAGTGTTTTACGTATTGTAGATTCGCTAACAGGGATGTTAGCATTTCCCAGTGACTTTTGTAAGTCTTTAGCTGACACTCTAGGATTCTTCTTCACCTCATTGAGCAGTCTGCGCTGTGCTCTTGCAGTCATCTTTACAGGACGGCCACTCCTAGGGAGAGTAGCAGCAGTGCTGAACTTTCTCCATTTATAGACAATTTGTCTTACCGTGGACTGATGAACAGCAAGGCTTTTGGAGATACTTTTATAACCCTTTCCAGCTTTCTGCAAGTCATCAATTCTTAAACGTAGGTCTTCTGAGAGCTCTTTTGTGCAAGGCATCAATCACATCAGGCAATGCTTCTTGTGAAAAGCAAACCCAGACCTGGCGTGTGTTTTTTTATAGGGCAGGGCAGCTGTAACCAACACCTCCAATCTCATCTCATTGATTGGACTCCAGTTGGCTGACATCTCACTCCAATTAGCTCTTGGAGAGGTCATTAGTCTAGGGGTCCACATACTTTTTCCACCTGCACTGTGAATGTTTACATGGTGTGTTCAATAAAAACATGGCAATATTTAATTCTGTGTGTGTTATTAGTTTAAGCAGACTGAGTGTCTATTGTTGTAACTTAGATGATGATCAGATCATATTTTATGACCAATTTGTGCAGAAATCATATCATTCCAAAGGTTCACATACATTTTCTTGCAACTGTACGTGACCAAATAAAAAAAAATAAAAAAAAAACATGTTGCAGAAATCAAATGCTCTCTATGAGCAGCATTTGACTGAGGATCAAGTCAGCCAGAAGGGGAAGTGTTTCTTGTGCCATTAGGAAGACAGTCACTAGAGGTGTGTTTAACCAAGCAAATAAAATATTGCCATTCCTACTAAACAGCAATGTTTTCCAATGTGTTTATTCATTTGTGACAGGCTTGTCTATGTACTTGCTGCTGGTTTGACAGGGAGGGACCAGACGCATGCAAAGTGTGAGCGTTGTGACAATGTATGTACAAAGAGCACTACTGTGTGTAGACAGTTCCTGTGAGCTATGTGTCGAGAGTGTATCTTGTTTTGTTCCATACAGAGGTTGCATCTGCCTTGGCTAAAAACAGAAAGCAATCAAATGCCAGCTGCAACGTCTCACGGGGACTCCAGCAGCAATCATAGAGTACTGAATGCGGATATCGCTACAGAACTTAGAAATGTTGCACTACACTGATGAGGAATTCTCCACCTGGGTAAGGTTACTGATGGTTATACGGTCTGTAGCATTGGGGTTGGACTTGGGGAGGGCTTATTGTTGAGGGTAACCTGCCATCAAGGGCAAAACAACTCATGTGTTTCTTAACCAGGTGATGTCTAAGAGTGATAGGAGTTACAGTCTGCAGTTTCATGAAGGCAGGTTGTCTTTAATCCCCAAATCCACATTAACTCTATGACCAAAAGCCTAGTCACGTCAATATTAACTACTCATACGTATAAGTACCCCGACATACCCCCCATAATTACATGCGCTATCATGCCACTGTCTTCTTAACATATTGAAATTATAGAATAGTTATCACTAGGTGCAGCTTCTTACATCAACTACTTTGCTTTTAATGAATCCTGCAGTTAATTATCCATCTTAGAAATTTCAAATGAGTTGCAAAAAAACAACAACAAAATATATTCAACATTTTTCTATTTTAAAAACGATTAATCCTTTAAATAGTTAAATGCAATCTGTATATAACGGCAACTCCCATTACGGTCAGCGAGTCCTGGGCTGTGACTGTCATTAAATAAGGAAAACACAGATTTTGTTAAATGATGACTCACAGGTTTTACCCCAAGTGATAGTGGGTAAATGAGGGACTACTCTTCAAATTAGTGAACAAATTATTGTAATCTCACAAAGCAAGACCTCCTTGGATTAAACATATATATTTCATTAATTAGATGTGCTTGCTGTGTTGCAGCCTGTATGCCTCCTACTCAGGAAGGTTATTAATCTGATAGGTGTGAAATGAAGGGTTATAATGGCTCAGCAGAAAACATGTTTACCTGACAAACTGATCTCTTCCACCCACGGCAAACTGGTACGTGTTGGCTGGATTCACGTAGATTGTATACAGGCCCACCTTCTTCTCCTTCTCCTTGGTTACCACTAGCCGTCTGCAAGAAGAGAAAAATATTATCGATATGGAAACCCTGCGTGAATCCAACTCAAAGAGAGCCAAATGGGAGTTTACAAAGCTGAAAAAGGAAAAAATGAAATAATCCGGATACTCACGAGGCAGGCCGGTCTTGTCGAAGGTCAATAGTGAAGACCACAGCGTCTTCTCCTGCAGATAAGAAAGTGCATGGGGAGTCGGGTTCCAGGGCGAGCTGAATTCAGAGAGGAATGGAGGAAACTCTGTTAGAACACAAACTGCTTGTTTACAAGGCTGAACATACACTGGAATATAAGTACCAGCCATGCTAAAAACACTATATGGGACCCACTGGTTTGCCAGCTAAGCCAGTTAGCTTTCAGAACATAACAGAGAAAGAAAGGTGAAAATAAACTTTTTTTTGTTTGTCAAGATAAAATTATATATATTTACACACACAATGCTTAATGAAGCGGTTTTGGTGAACAGAATTTTTTTTTTTCATGAGGGCCGTGCGAGTCACAGCCAGGGGAGACATGGCTAGGGCAGCACAAACATTGTTTCATTTCTCCTCTACTCCGTATTCTCTCTCTATGCAGATCATTAGACCCAAAAGTCAAAGTTTATATCAATGACTGAAAGGGAGCCAAGGCAGAGCATAATTGCAGACTATAGGAGGCATTACATTTTCTATTTTACAAACTCATTTGTTAAATATATGGAATAAGTAAAAAAAAATATATAAAAATTCCTGGAAAGCAACAGCCCTCCTTCAACTGTAGGACATCAGAGTACAGGTCAGATTTGTTAGTTAAAGCACTAAAGCATTAGGAATACAATCCTGTATTCACAACACTTTTGTTTCCCTGTCCCTAGCTAGCTATAGGTCCTTCCTGTTTGGAGCAAAATAAAAATTAAAAAAGTTTTACTTACCCTTTCCCAGTGCTAAGGCTTCCTTTGGCGCTGCTCACCCCTCTGCTGTTGGCGACATCTTTGAGTAGTACAGGGAACCTGACGCACATGCGAGGTGAGCATCCACTAATACAATGCTTTCTGTGTCACATGACAGAGTTTTACTCAGTCAGTGCGGTGAAAGCGCCTCCAGTGACTGTCACTTTGACAGCCACTACAGGTGGACGTAACCCTGCAATGTAAACATAGCACTTTCTAGGTCACTTCGTTGAGTAGTCCTTTAAATGCTTCTTCACAGCAGCTACATTAAAACCTATGAAAAATTGGTTTACCTATAGAATAGTTTTTAACAATTAACTTAAACGAAGCCCTTCTTGTTTCCTTTTGGTGTCAGGGTCTCGAGATTCAGTGTTAGCAAAGAGACAATTCATTCAGATGTTGTGGACTACATTTCCCATGATGCTGTGTCAGCATTTGGCTGTAAAAGCATTATTGGAATGCCGAAGGTTGCCTACTCTCCTGCACTAGCATAAGTGAAACTTTGCAAGAGCTTCATGGGCTCCCTAGCTTGTCTATGGAAATTCAGCATTTGCATTACTTAGAATGGACATGCACCTTCTAGTATACATTCAGTAACATCATCTTGCTTTTACTTTTGTTTTTAAAATACTTTTTAGTTGTTTTAGAGATGTCAGGATGTTGTATATGTTCCCTCAGAGGCTGTGGACAGTATTTTCCTTTTCAGTACTTGGCATTTGTATTGTAAGCATTAGCCTTAATAGCAAATTTAAAGGGACACTATAGGCACCAAAACAACTGCAGCTAAATGAAGTGGTTTAGTATAGGATCACTTAGTTTATGCAGCCAGGGTCACACCTCTACACAGACTCCCTACACCAGACTTTACCAAACTCCAGCCCTCAAGATATTGCTGAACTATAACTCCCATGATTCTCAGCCTATTTCATTCATAGAATCATGGGAGTTGTAGTTCGGCAACATCTGGAGGGCCAGAGTTTGGGGAAGCCTGCCCTACACACTTCCTATAAACAGATATTGAAGGTTTAAACTTACCTTGTTGTACAATGTATTTCATTTCTAATTATTTATCTCCTGCTGTTAATAGCCTGCTAGAGTCTCCCATGTGTGATTAAGGTTCAATTCACAGAACAGGAGATACAAATTTCTAAAGTATACACACTGTGTTGTCAGGTCGGATTAAAAATGAAACCATTTTTTTCATGCATGCTCTGTCAGTCATACCCAGGGGAGGTGTGAAATGGCTGCATAAACAGAAACAATGTGAACTAATAGCAATGGATTGATCATTGGAGACAGCAGGGCCATGATCTATAGACTAAAATTGCATCATTAAGTTGTTTTGGTGCTTAGAGTATGCCTTAAATAATCAACATCTAGTCATTATCAAGCAATTAATCAGTGGGTACTCACCTTGTGAGAAGCGCCTTTGTGCTGTGCTACTCGCTTGGTGTTTTTGCAGCACTGCGTGGCAGACAGTTCTGCAACTCGTACCTGACCATCCCGAGCGCACATTGCCAGAGTTGAATCTCCACTATTTGGAAGGAACTTGGCCTGTTAAGAAAGAAATGATAAAATACATGAAAATAGTAAGAAGGATAGAGTTTGGATGTGTGTTACATGACATTAAGGACGTGCAACAAGCTGGCTCTAGATTTTTACAGTCCACAGAATTATTTAACAAATAAGTGAGCAGTGAGAAATAGGCCGTACCATCAAACAAAACACATAATCAACTTACACTACTGAACATTTAAAAAAAACACCTATTCCTTGCATTAAAGGACCACTTCACATGCCTGAGGCACTTCAGATTGCCGAAGTGCATAGTGTGTGAAGATTGTGTCCTCTTTTACTCATTTTCCAAAAAGTGAGTATTTCATTAGAAACTGACACTTTTATAAATTAACATTTGCATTGAGTGTATATTACATACACATTTATTTTTTTTAATTTGGGCAGTGGACTGTCCCTTTCAACTCCCCCTCCCCTTTTTAAAGCTAAGGTTATATTCAATGTGTAGATCCTAAATGATTAATAATACATAGGTCCAGCATATATCGCTGCTCCTAATAACCAATTCTATATTGATAGGGAGAAGGGGGATGAAAAATACATTCTTACTGGAGGACATCTCTTCTTTACAGGGTTACTTCAACCATTATAGCCCACTGTAGGAAAACACGGTTGCCGTTCCTCAGTAATAGGGCAAACTGTTCTACGATGGTTTGCTTGCTTAGCTGGCCCTGCTAGGCATCTCCTGAAGCCGGATGCCAATCCTGCCACTCATTCTTTCAGCACGAGCTGACCGCTCGCAGGCAATGAATGAATAATTCCAGGATGGCTGCTGACACCCTAATGATGTGTCAGAGATGGAGTCTGGCAACAAAATGGTTTAACTTGGAGTGTGCAGCATTTCAAAGAGAAACGCTGCACAGTCTCCAGGCACCACGACCACCTTAAATAACTGAAGTCATGGTTTCTGCAGTATCCATTTAATTACCCTCTGAATAATCGATTGATTATATCGGATATTCAAGGCTTGGATTTCACTAAGCCTTCGGATTGCAGTCACGGCAATTCAAGAACATGGTTTTCAGAGTAAAGCATTTGATAAGACACGTCGTGGCAGGTTCACAAGGAAGAAGTGTAAGCTGATTTAAGTCCCACATCGAAACTGGATGAACCAACGTTTCAATTAGGCAGCTGCTACAATAAATCTCATCCACAAATACTCTGCCAACCTAGAATAAAAAAGGATCTGAGAACCAATACATGAGGTTTCAAGCCCATTGGGAGACTGTTCTCCCTTAAGTACGTGACTGCTACTTATGTAGACTCAGTGAAGTGCCATTCACAATTTAGGCCATGGGCCCATCAAAAGGTAAGCAAAGTTCAATAGAGTAATAAATTGTTACTCTGTGGACAGACGGTCCTGTTACGCTCTGCTCAAAAGTAGTAGAGTAGAGTCAGTAAAAAGGGGCTCATTACCAAATATATTGTAAAACTTTACGAATAGGCACAGTGTTGCAGCAATTCAATGTAATCACTGTGTAATTAAATTAATATTCTATTGGTACTCAGATTTCATAATTTCTATTAAAAAGAATTTTAAAAAAAAGAAAACAAGAAAAAAAAACAAAAAAACCACGCAAGTAAATAAAAAGATACTTAACTGTAAATTTTTTCCTGACCTCCCTGTTAGATCAGCCTTTTGGGGTGGAATGCATTTTTCTGTTTTAGTGTATGCAATCCATAATAGGGTATTCCCCTAAAAAGGAAGCTTCAGGGACAGCCTCTCATGTGTTCAAGATGCCGGCTCCACAGCTAAATTTAGCCTAATCATAGTTTTAAACACCTGCTTGAAGAAAGACCAGAATGAAGATTTGGGAATATACAGGATTCCATGCACCAGTATGAAACCTCTTACATATGTTATAACCGTCTACGGAACCACCTAACTGCTGCACGAACGTCAAGGACTTTCTCTGACAAATGTCAACTGCTCGTGATCTCCAGCTCAGACTTCACACTGTGAAAAAGTGAGAAGGAGCCTGGATAGTGATGAAGAATGGGTCTTTTATAAAGCAAGTCTAACTCTGGAAGGAAGTCTGGTGGAAGGTCCATCTTGCTTCAGCTGGATCAAGATGGAGCTATCAGAAAAACAGTCTTTTCTTCGATTAACTCCTGCAGAATTATTTTACAAATAAGTGAGCAGGGGGGGACTAGAGACCGTGGAGGCAAGATGTAAGCCGTCTCAAACTTTCAAGTATGATACATTTTGCCCAAGGTCAGAGGAAGATGAAGAAATTAAGACTTCTGCTGGTGTTATGGTTTGAAAATAGTGTTTCCTCTGCCACAGGAAGAATGCACTCTGAAGTTGTTTCTCTCCCTGCAGTAATTGTCACTTCTTGTGACCTATATCCAGAAAAGGATCCATGGAACCAAGGAAGCGGCTTTATTTGTGGAGGCCAGTGCTCATCACTTGTCACCTTTCCAAGGAGTTGGAATACTAGGGTAACATTTCAAAAACATCGGAAAATTATCCACTCAGCTATTTTAATTTATAAAAATGTTTTTAAAATTTTCATTCCCAGGTCATAATAACATAATTCCCAATTTCTCGAATAACTGATTTCTTGCTTGTCTAACAGATAAGCAAAAGGCAATATTATGGATGTCATTATTTAAAAATCCAATTTTATTTAATACATCTTTTTGACATGTTTCCTCATGTCAACCTCTGTAGTGGTTATGGTGTTAGGAGTGCCCTGGCTCCCATCCATTGTAAGCAGTCAAACCATTAGCCAACAATTTGACTTCTTACCTGGTGTCCACCAGGTACCACTTCTCGTCTTTCAACAACTGGAATCTCTCTGCCTGAGCAAAGCCCAACAGTTAAAGTCTTAATTCACTGGCTGAAAGATCAGCTAATACACTCAGCCTAGCTTGGTTCAGAGAGCAAACAAAGCTCCTAGCCGGAGCTTCTTTCTCTCCGTAACCTTCGCCCTGTAGAACCAGGATTAGAATTCAAACAGTTAGAAAAGAGTTTGACTAGAGCATGCTATAGTGGTTATGGTAGTAAGAGTATTCCTATAATGAATGTTTAATGAGTGGGTGCTCCCGCCCTGGGCCATCGCAGCACAGACACCGGGCCTGTTACAGTTAGGCACCTATCGGTGCTCTACAATGTGACATAACCACTATAGGTTTGTACATGAGTAGCGTTTAACACTCACTAGCATCAGCCCAAAGGGATCTGAGCATCCTGGCTCACTTCGTTATTTTTTCCCATAGGTACCTGCATGTACCGACTTACTATGTCATAAAATTGAACAGTGCCTGTGAGCACTGACTTAATGCATACACACCGTTACAGGTACCTGCATGTAGCCATATCAAGTCCACGACATCCAAACGCGACTTACAAAAAACAAAACCTGAATAAAATTTGATTTACAAAAAATTTCTATTTTTTTCCCATTTGTTAACAGTACAATAAAAAGTCTACAGCACATTTTGCAACTTACACTGCTAAACTAACCTTGAGAAATCTAAGAAAAGAACATTTATTATTATATATATATATTTTTTTTTTATCGTTTTCTTTTCCCTGGCTTTACAACATCTATATCCAAGGTCAATTTACAATAATCTGTACTCTGCATTGCAGGAACAATCATCTTACATGTAATAAATGATACATTATTGCACTCTGCACAGTGGGAAATAAATACGCACTCCCCTTCCCACAGTCCCATTCTACACCTTTATGGTTAGCAGTCGACTCACTGCTCACTTAGAATTCCCAAAATTGGCAGATCGGGAATCGATGCCGGTGAGTTGACCCTGACTGGTGTGACATACATCACTAGCGACGTCCATAATGGATGGGCCAGGGGAACGTCTAGCATCAAGCATGTCAAGGTAACAGATACCTGTCTGGTTAACACCTAACATACAGGTCAATGAAGAAAGTGCTGGACCCCAAAATGGGGACTTTTGAGAGGCTTTCCAGACATCAAAGTATATTCACATAGTTCCTTGCACCAGACTGCACACTAGAATATGTAGGATGCTATGCACCTTTATGCCAAAAAGCAAAACAGATGAAAAAATGTCAAATGACACAAAGTATTCAGTGTCAAAAGTACGATGGAACGACTTCTGTGGGGATATTGAATCTGGACAAATCGCCAGCAGGGTTATTTGCTAAAGTGAGCATTGTTGGGAATTTAAAGGGATTCTCAAATTTAAAATGACACTATAGTCCCCAGAACAACTACAGCCTAATGAAGTTGTTCTGGTGAGTAGAATAGCTCCCTTCAAGCATTTTCATGTAAACACTACCTTTTCAGGGAAAAGGCAGTGTTTACATTACCCTAGGGATACCTCCAAGTGGCCACTCCTTAGATGGCCACTGGAGGGACTTCCTGGATCAGTGCTGCACAGTAAGCAGCCCTGCCGTTCAGCGTCCCCACGCTCTGCATGGAGACTCTGAATTTTCCTCATAGAGATGCATTGATTCAATACATCTCTATGAGGACACCCTGATTAGCCAAAACAGCATTTGGCCCCGCCCCATGCCAATTTAAGCCAATCCAATGCTTTTCTTATGGGAAAGCATTGTATTGGCTAAAAATCTGCCATTTTGATGTCACAAAGGTGGCGGCCAGCGGTGCTGGAAATGAGGTGAGTTTTATACTTTATTGGGGAACTAAGGTGGGGGGGCAAGCCACCTAAATGGAGAGTTTAGCACTATATGGTCAGGAATACATGTTAGTGATCCTTTAAAGTAAAAATAGTCAAAGTGGAAGCATAGGTGACTTGGAAAGTGTTACAAGATCTGCTAGTTTGGTCATAAATTTGAAATTCCCAACAATTCTCACTTTAGCAAATAACCATGCTGCGGTTTGTCCAGACCTGACCAGCAGGATTCTAGTTTAAATTGTTCGAGCCACACCTCTAAGGGACCATTATTTAGTGTTAAAGTGCAGCAATTTAGGAAGGAAGATAGAGTGTGGATGTTGTAGCAGGATGCTGCTGGGGCATCAACTATATACTGGACACGTGACAGAGATGGTCCATCGGGTTTACTCGAGGTCATGTGCTATAATATGGCTGTAACATATAAATATGGATAGAGATTGAGGGCAGTGGGGAGTTCCATGCCAAAACAGACACCAGACACATTAACCATGGAGTGAATTCTTGCAGAGAGCAGCACAATGAGAGCAAGCAGTCAGGAAGTGCTCGAAGATCAGGTGGAAGGATCGACCCATCAATGAAGAAGATGGTTGTGATCTACTTAGGGACCTGCCACTTTACTGGCATCTATTTATTAATGCCTGAGATCTTTAAATCTCCCATCTCATCTTTACAAGTGATCCAAGTCAGATAATTAAGAGCAATATGAACAGAGAGGATAGCATCAACGGCACGGCATACGATCATCATGGTGAATTCAGACAAAAGGAGAGGTTATCTCCAGGCCAGCAAAAACTCAGGATATAGAAGTAGATACCCTGCCTGGAGTCAAGACATACCTCTCTACTTGGAGTAAATGAAATGCCTCTGGTAACTTTCAGGAACTTAATTTGCATATGTTTAACATGGTACCCTCCTCTCCATATAACTTAAAGTAATTGTGAAATCATACTTTTTGATAGATCCATAAAAATAAAAAAAATTTGCGAAATGCCCACATTATTACAGAGTAAACTGTGGAATTTAGAATCCCTGTCTCTGCACCCAAGCTTGCCCATGGGCATGGTTCAGCATTTATGGCCCCCGGTCCATGTGCACACACAGCCAGGTATAGAGCAGTTCCTGTCCCTTTAAAATAACTCAAGACCGTAAAGAAGATATATGCTACAAAAGCTCTTGTGGTTTGCACAGCTATTCTCAAATTTATACTTCAGCTTTTGTTTACCAACTTTGGACATTATTCATTGGCCGAGAGCCGTCAAGCAAAGCTTATTATAAAGACTGAAAAAGAAAAATACAGTTGTACATCCAACGAATCTAAAAAACCTAAATATAATTCGGAGATTGAGGTCATGTTCTATAAAATAAAGGGTTAGTGTGATTTACCTGAAACACATTGCTCTTGTGGCCGCTCTCAAACTCCAGCACAGGCTTCCTCCGGACCCAGTCCCATACCACAACTTTGAGGTCGTCACTGCCACTTGCCAACCAAGTCCCCCGCTGGTTGAAATGCAAGGTATTAACACAGCCACTGTGCCCTTCCAAGCCATGGAGAAGGTGGAAACGCTGGACAAACCCCCTTGCCCCACAGGCATCATAGATAAAGCGAGTACTGCTTCCCATCTCTCGTTGTCTGAGGGCACGGATAGCCCTCCATCTGGGTCGGGGTAGTGGTGTCTTTTCAGAGGTCACCCAGTCCTCCAGAGCTCGCTCATCATCTGAGGAATCCTGGTCGTGATTGGCCCGTTTTCGTTGGGCTCGCTTACGGAGATGGTCTTCTTCCTCGTCGTCGTCATCATCGTCATCTTCTTCGTCCTCTGAGTTGGAGCGATCATTACCTCTCTTATCGTCATTGATGGAATAATGGCCAGTGTCGTCCATACTATCAGAGTCTTTGTCCTCCCCTGAGGTCTCAGATCCAGTGTCTCTCTCTACTCGAGTAGCTCCAGCCTCATCCCCAGTGAGACTCAAGCTCACATCAGAGGCCTCCACCTCAATTCCAGAGGAGTTCTCCTTACCTTCTTCAGCTCCAGACATGTCTTCTGGACTGCTGGAAAAGCTGCCTGTACAGTGGAATAGACATCACAGCAAGTGTTAGAGAGGTGACCAGTACTGAATCACGCAATCAGACTGGTTTACTAAGGCATATCCACTATAGCGAGAGTTGTTGAGGGGAATTCAAGGGGAAAGTGAATTCAAAGACAATTTAAAATTTTGAGCCTAAGAGCTAAAAACTGGAAGCATTGCCAACTTAGTGAATTTTCTAAGTTTCACTCTTTGGAGTGAAACAGAGTTTAAATTCTCAACAACTCTCACTTTAGTAAATAATCCTGAATGTATACATTAACCTGCCACCAAACACTTTATCTGCAAAGCGAATAATTTTGAAATAAATCTCTACTTCGTGAAAAAGTAAAATATCCCTAGTTAGTACACTTAACATGTCATTGGCATAGATCCAGGGGGATTGAATTTAGCAAACAAATCAAAAGCTGTATGTGTAACTGAAATGAGGGCAACCCTGGAAAACCCAAACGGACCTGCTCTTCAATGTGACTTGCCCACTTCAGACCTTTCCTTGGAACCTCTGATCACTTGATTGTGCATTTACATACACCAATTTCATTGACGTTAATGCTGAGAGCCTGGCAGGTACGTTACTACAGATATTAAAGGAACACTCCAAGAACCATAATCACTACAGTGCACTATAGTGATTACGCCAGGGTTTGACAAATTTGTTTAGAATCTAGGGGCCAAATAAAATAAAATAAAAATAAAAAATAAACTAAGAAACTAGTTAAAAAAAAAAATTAAAAAAAATTACGTTTAATTTTCAGCGAGAAAAATGCTATTCTTAAGAGACATAGACACCAGAACCACTACAGCTTAATGTAGTTGTTCTGATGTCTATAGACTGTTCCTGCAGACCTTTCAATGTAAACACTGTCTTTTCAGGGCAGTGTTTACATTGCTGCCTAGTAACAGTCACTCAGATGGCCACTAGATAGTCCTTGGAGTGCTGCAGTGTGCAGCACCAATGTTCAGTGTCTCCACGCTCTGTATGGAGGTGCTGAATGTTCCCCATAGAGATGCATTGATTTAATGCATCTCTATGAGGACATGCCGACTGGCACATTGTTTTGCTGCGCATGCGCAATATCCTCCCTTAGATAAGATCATAAAGACTGATTACTTCAGCAATTGCGAAACAGGCACAGCGTGGGGGAAAAAAGGCGAGTACAAAAATCTTTCATGTTCGATTGGAGAGAGGCAGGTACCTAAACAGACACACAAACACTCTCTAAGAGACGCACGCGCGCACACAGACAAACAGATTTTTATTTTAATTGCAATCCACTCAGCCTCCCTACCTTTGGGAGAGCTGAGTGGATCTTTCCCTGGGGTCCAGTGGGGCTGCTCTCTCTTCCTGCGTGTGAGGGACCAGTAATCTACCTGCAACTCCTCTCTGCTCCCTCGCGCTCTCAGTAGTGATGCCGGGGCCGGAGTGAAGTCATATTCCAGCTCCCGAGGGCCCAGAGAGGAACTGCAGGAAGATTGCTGCCACCGCGGGCGGCCGTCTCCCATGCCACCGCGGGCGGCCTTGTACAAGGGCTGACATACCAGGCTCCTGGGATTCGTTAAGCCCTGGATTACGCTTTCAGTAACAGCTTGACTTTTTACATGAGGTGCCTCCACACCCAAACATAAGCTTGGGTTAGCTCCCATTAGCTAATCCCTGCATGCAGGTCTAGCTCACTAACAGACTGTCAGTTGGTCGCTCTCATTTACGGTACTTTGAGTGTTCCTTTTGCTTCATACAGCGCTTGTATACTACACAGTCACTGGCTGACAATAGCGGTCTTCACAAGGAAGCATATCTACCATGGTGTTTATTTTTAAATAAATAGTTATATTTGATTTGTAAGCCCTATCATTATTTTCAGGATACTATGTATTATTTGTAAGAATTAACAAATACGCTTTCAAATGTCCCATTGTGGACTTTGCACATTAGTTTAGTAAGCTTCTGTGGATGGTCCCATTTCAGTTCACCAAGAACATTAGGAGACAATCTATGCACGCACCCTGACCCAGCAAGAGCAAAAATGCCCCATTAGGGTTACGCCACAAAGATCTTAAAGGGGCACTGCAATAACTTCATGTTGTAAGCGCTGCTGGTTCACCTATTTACCACTATAATGTCTTAGAGCATAGAATTGAGCAGGGTTAACCGTACAGATGTCTTAGCCATACTATATAGTTTGTAAGAGTTCCCTCTATTTAAAATATATAAGTAATTAAGAATACAATATAAATAGGGATTGTCCTGGAAGCAATAAAGTTTTGTCCTTTAAAATATTTTATTAAATAAAACAGACATAAAAAAGTAATAATCCATTACAATAATTTATTGCAGAGTTTATAAGATTAAAGTATGTGTTTGCAATATCAGTAAAATAGAATTACATCTTAAACAAGTCAACCTCTCAGTCTTAATAAAGTGGAGCGGAGTCTCTGTCTCCAAAATCTCTCCTCTGTGTCCTAATATTAATAAGTAAACATATTTATACCTTGGATTTTCAATTCGGTCATGTTAGAACCTATCTTAACTTGGCAAAGATACGAGGCCATGACTTTGTCATTTCACATCGGAACATCTTATCTGTTTGGACTAAAACTTAAGGTTGGACATGACTTGGGGAATTCCACTAACCTAGGACAAGATAGCGTCCTAAAGTCTGAACACGGGTAAGAGGTAATTTATTAAGGAAACACTGTATATAAAAAATAATAATAATAATAATAATGTTCCATTTCTAACAACTTGTCAGTTAGCAAAATCTCTTAAAGACAAAGTACACAGTTTAAAAGGGACACTATAGTCACCATAACAGCCTAAAGTAGTTGTTCTGGTGTGTATAATCACTCCGTTCAGACATTTTCAGAGAAAAGGCAGTGTTTACATTGCCCCCTAGGTATACTTCTTGTGGCCACTCCTCAGATGACCACTGGAGGTACTTCCTGGGGCAGCACGGCCATTCAGCGTTTTTCTGCATGAAGACGCTGAAATTCTCATATAGATGCATTGATTCAATGCATCTCTGAGGAGGTGCTAATTGGCCAAAACTGTGTTTGGCCCCACCCCCATCCCACCTTGTCGATTTAAGCCAATCCAAAGCATTGGATTGGCTAAAAATCTTAAATGATGTCACCAATGAGGCAAATCGGGGGCTGAGCCCGCGCTGGTGGACCTGTATGGAGCTGGAAATAAGGTAAATTTTAACCCTTTCTAAGGGTGTTAAGGGGGGCAAGCCACCTAAAAGGTGGTTTTAACACTATAGGGTCAGGAAGATGTTCCTTTAAGAAATACTTTCATTCTAAAAACTTGTAATATTTGCATATACCCATAACAATGTCACTGAAATAATTACAATGGATGAAGTCCCTTGGCTCCAATTTTCTGTTCAGTGTTAAAACATTAAATTTGTGCTGCTCAGGTTTATGTGGAACAATTTATCTGAACAGCAATGGGTGGTTGTAATAGGCTTAGGGCGCAAGCTGACCATTTCCAGCCTATGACCGTCTCTCCCATTGCTGGTATGAGTTGTGGGCGATCAGGGACCCTCATTCAGTGTTAAACTGCCCAAAAATGGTTTATTACTGAATAGAGGGACAGTGCTATGGGACTGTAGACACTATGACCTATTGAAAGACATGAAACAGTATGTAGAGTGTCCCTTCAAAGACTGGACATTTTTTAATACAACAATCTTTGAAGTTACCGGTGTTTACTATGCCTTTAAATAAACTTTTAGCTTGCTCAATACTAGTTTTGAAGTAAAACAGAGCATTTCCTCTTTATTATTGGCAATTTTCTCTCTTCTATATTGCTATGTAAACAAACTGTGTTATACTTTCTGCACAACGAGAAACGCAGACAAATAAAAGATGCAAACTTATTTTTCAACTTTTTCAAATTACACACAGCCCCAGATGAGGGACACAGCTTGGAATATCGCTTACCGTTGGTAAGATCTGTTTTGCCATCAGCCATTCCACCAGTGAAGGACATGTCTATTCTGCAGAAGAACGGTGCTGAAATCTCAGAAATCTGAATAAGAAATTGAATAAAAGCAACGCACTTCAATATCAGAAGTAATAAGAAATGAAAGGGTTATAAGGGGCCAGAAACAAAGCTTTACTTCCTTGACTAAGGGTAAGTTGGCTTTCTAGGTAATCGTGAGCTCATGTTTTGCTCTCTACCACAAACTACAGCTAGGTACCAATTTATGGAATGGTATATGCATTTCAATGGCATTCAGAATAGGACTCAAGAAAATTTACCGGAGTCGTGCAAAGATGCAAAATTCCCAATGGAATATGCCGTCTGTGACCACAGTAACTGACATTTTTACAACTCTACACCACTTTGATATATATCACCATGTATATTTAAAGAGACATCGCTGATTAGACTTTGAAAGTCCACAAACAAGTTTCAACAGATTTCTATAGAGAGATACAATTTCATTTAAAATGGATTGTTTAGAGCAGACATCACAAACTCCAGTTCTGAGATGCTGCTGCACTACAACGTACATGATGCGTGACCAGCTTATGCATTAAAGAATTCTGGGTGTTGTAGTCCATCAGCACCGGGGGTACCAAAGTTTCAGAGCCACGGTTTAGACTTTCAGCAAAGCTGTTTGATACTGTTAGATGATTAAAGTGCAATCCAGAATATATGTGTACATATACTGATCCAATTATTTATTTTTATTACAATATTTTAAAGTTTGTCAAAGTTAAATTTAGTAAATACTCACAAGCCAGGAATTAGTGGTTTTACAAAATAGGTGAGTGACCTGCAGAAAAACAAATTATAAGATTACATAAAAGTTTTTGTGTCAGAAATGAAACGATGTAAAATAAATTGCGATAGCCATTAAAAAAGATCAAAGTGTTTTTGAAACTGCTCCAACTTTGCATGCTAAGCAGTGTTAGGATTGCGTCAGCGTCTGGACATGGTTATTCGCTTTATTTTGGTGTTTCTATATAAACAAAAATAACTCCTTTTTTATTAGATTTGTATTTAACTACTCTAATTTCAATGTTTAGGGTGTGTTTTGTTTTTTAATTATAAACATACATTCATCTTTTGATTTGTAAGCTAGAAGTGCTACGTGAGTTGTAGTTTACGTAACTGCCACAACAGATAAACAGTATGCACCAAGTCCAGAGTGCCAAAGTAAACAGACTATGTTTGGTTATAGAATTATTATTTACTGCAATGTGCTGACACATGATGAGAGAGAGTAAAACAGAAGAGGGAAATTTTGGACACCTCAGTAATAAAGTGCAGACTGGAGAAAATATAAAATTCCATAAAGATAGATTTATCTCAGTACATGGGTGTTTGTCAGGAGTTTCACACGTGCTAGATGATGGCACACAAGACGCTAGAGGGGACACTAAAAGCCTGGTGTAGGCAGAGCTGGAAACCATGACTCTAGACTGCAACCTCTCCTTCACCCCTTATGTCCAATCAACCGCCAAATCCTGCCGCTTCCATCTTAAAAACATAGCACGCATCCGACCCTATTTAACGCCAGATACGGCTAAGGTGCTTGTCCATGCCACTGTCCTCTCTCGGCTTGACTACTGTAATCCGCATCTTAGTCGTTTTACGTGTTCCCAACTTGCCCATTTACAGTACGTGGCGGCAAGACTCATCTTCCTGTCCGCCCGCACTTGCCTCCTCTGTCAGTCCCTACATTGGCTTCCCGCAAGATGAGTCAATTTAAGATTACTGGTTTACAAAGCTCTACACAATGCTGCTCCAACCTACCTATCCTCACTAATACACAAATACGTCCTGTTTATGCCCCTACACTCTGCCGAAGACCTACGTCTAACCTCTGTTCCTACTCCTACCTATGAAGTTCGCCTTAAAGACTTCTCTGGGGCTGCACCATTCCTATGGAATGCCCTTCCTCTCTCTGTTAGACTCTCACCCTATCTCCACTCCTTCAAAAAATCTTTAAAAACTTACTTCTTCAGGAGTGCATATCATTTAAACGGTCAACAGCTTTCCCTCCCCATACCGGTCATCAAACAAAAACACTAAACCCTCAATAAATACTATCCTTGCACCCTACCCTTGCCTTTTGTGTCACTATACCCCACTCTCTCTAGCATGTAAATTCATTGAGAAGGGACCTCAGTCCCTCTGTTCCTGTATGTCCCACTTGTCTGGTCACAAACACGTGTCTGTTATTCCACCTATTGTACAGTGCTACGGAATTTATTGGCACTTTATACATAACAATAAATCTGGGAGAGATCCAAAACATTTGCAACATTTTAAACAGGGGAGCTATTTTGGATGCAGAGTGTGTGTAACCCAAGGGTGATAAGAATCTGGAACAAGACCAGCCGACTGATGGAGAGGAGACTATACAGCTCTGTTAAATGGTGGATAAAGGGCAGTAAGAGGATCTAGAACAGGTACAGCACCACCATTAAGAGTCACAGGTGCCAGATAAAGAGCAGTACCTAGACAGAGAGAGATCAGCCAAAATCCACAGGGGGTTACTGCAGCGCACACTAGTCCCCCCGCAAAGGTGAAGCATTCAGACCATGAAAAGGCCAGCCACAAAGATTACAGGGTTCCACAATGTAAAGTGGTAGCACGACAATTTAGGGATCAACTTCTGCTACACCATCAATAATGGGGTATCCGCACCAGTAAAAGGGAGTGTAATATTTGTAGAAAAGCAAATAAAATATTTCTGCAGCATTAATCAAATGTGTATTAAATTTTTTTCCATATTTAGGGTTCACAAAAAGGAACGTTACATATACTTAGTAAAAGGATGTACAGCACAGCAAATGGGGTGCCATGTGTTGATGCAATGCCAAGAAAATGGGCAACTCAAGAGTATACACAGAGCTGCCAGATCCCAACACCCAAAGTAGCCGCAGAGTCACTAGACTATGCCATTAGTAGCGCAGAGCCACCAGACAGTAAAACCCAGAGTAGCCGTGGTGCCATCTGCATTAAGAATCGAGAGCAGCCACTGTGCCAGCTTATCAGAATAGTAAGTGAGGGACTGAGCTTGCCAGAAATTCAGTGCAGCAGCTTGCAGCGAGAGTTACACTGTAAACAGGGACCACAGCACTGGGAATGTAAACATAGGGGGGAGGGGAGAGATCCAGAATGCCATGGGCCACAGGGTATACTACAGAACAGATGAGAATAGCCAGGGGCCACCAAGTACATTCCAGGCATTAAATACTGTATACAAAATGTCAAGGGCCACAAAAAATAAGAAGAGAGACAAGGGTCACAGGGCAGGCTCTGTGTGGGGGATGGGGGATTTTGGTTACACAGAGCTAGGGACCCCTGTGTGCAGAGCCGGAGGGAGAGAGAGTCCGGGGTGCAGCTTGAGACATGGCCAGTATTGGGGGGCAGTGGGGTACTCTGGGTACAGACCAGTATTGGGGAGCAGTGGGGTACTCTGGGTACAGCCCAGTATTGGAGGGCAATGGGGGCCCCTAGGTACAGCCCAGTATTGGGGAGCAGTGGGGTACTCTGGGTACAGCCCGATATTGGGGGGCGGTGGGGTGCTCTGGGTACAGCCCAGTATTGGGGAGCAGTAGGGTGCTCTGGGTACAGCCCAGTATTGGGGAGCAGTAGGGTGCTCTGGGTACAGCCCAGTATTGGGGGGCAGTGGGGTGCTCTGGGTACAGCCCAGTATTGGGGGGCAGTGGGGTGCTCTGGGTACAGCCCAGTATTAGCAGGGTGGCTCTGGGTACAGCCCAGCATTGGGGGCTCAGTGGGTGCTCTGGGTACAGCCCAGTATTAAAGGTGGGGTTCTAAGGGCCAGCCCAGGCATTGGGGAGCAGGGTGCTCTGGGTACAGCCCAGCATTGGGAGCAGTAGGGTGCTCTGCACAGCCCAGTATTGGGGGCAGGTGCTCTGGTACAGCCCAGTATTGGGGGTGGGAAGGCTCTGGGTACAGCCCAGTATTAGGCAGTGGGTGCTCTGCTCATTGGGGGGCAGTGGGTGCTCTGCAGCCCAGTATTGGGGTAAGGCTCTAACAGCCCAGTATTGGGGGCAGTGGGGTGCTCTTGGGTACAGCCCAGTATTGGGGGGCAGGGTGCTCTACAGCCCAGCATTGGGGGCAGTGGGTGCTCTGGCATGTCTAGGCACAAGTGGTGGGTGCTCTGGGCACAGCCCAGTATTGGGGGGGGCAGGGGAAGCCTGGCACAGCGCAGTATTGGGGGCAGGTTTGGCACAGCCCAGCATTGGGGGCAGGGGGTGCTCTGGGTACAGCCCAGGCATTGGGGCAGTGGGGTGCTCTGGGTACAGCCCAGTATTGGGGGGGGCAGTGGGCGCTCTGGGTACAGCCCAGCATTAAAGGGTGCCTGGGTACAGCCCAGTATTGGGGCAGTGGGTGCTCTGCACAGCCCAGTATTGGGGGCAGTGGGTGCTCTGGGTACAGCCCAGTATTGGGGGCAGTGGGTGTCAGTACAGCCCAAAATAAAAGTGGGTGCCCGGTACAAAGCGCAGTATTGGGGGCAGTGGGTGCTCAGCCTATATTGGGGGTGGGTGGCTCTGGTACAGCCTAGTATTGGGGCAGTGGGTGCCTGCATGCCCAGTATTGGGGGCAGTGGGTGCTCTGGGTACAGCCCAGTATTGGGGGGCAGGGTACTTGGGTACAGCCCAGCATTGGGGGGGCAGTGGGGTGCCTGGGTACAGCCCAGTATTGGGGCAGTAAGGCTCTGGGTACAGCGCAGTATTGGGGGGCAGTGGGGTGCTCTGGGTACAGCGCAGTATTGGGGGGCAGTGGGGTACTCTGGGGGCCCGTGCTGGTGGTGGTTATGGTCGGGGCCCCGGGGGGGGTGTCAGTGGGGGGCCCCGCGGACAGTGTGTGGGTGTGTGCAGGGCTCGGTGCTGTACCCGGGCTCGGTGCTGTACCCGGGCTCGGTGCGGGCCCCCCGCTGTGTGTCCGTGCAGGCCCCGGCCGGGGGAGCTCAGCTCATCCGATCCGACATCTCCTGCTCGGCTCCTCCCCGCACAGCGCTTTACGGCACCCCCCTCAGCGCAGCGCTCACCGCTTTACGGCACCACTTCTCAACGCGACTCTCCGCTTTACGGCACCACTTCTCAACGCGACGCTTTACGGCACCTCTCAGCCGGACAGTAACCGCTTTACGGCACAGGTTGCTAGGGAGCCGCCGTAGTGGGAGGAGCTCAGAGTTCGTTTTAGTCACAAGGTGTTTCCATGTCCTGAAACAGACTGGCACACAGGCAGCCCCTTTAGAACTACATCTCCCATGATGCTCCGAGCTCCCAGCTGTAGCCAGCCCCTGTCTCTCAGGGCACAGTGTGTAGCAGGCTGACAGAGATACACAGTGCACATTCTATTATTATTATTATTATTATTATTACACTGCCAGGTCCCAGCCCCCCTCTCTCAGGGCACAGTGTGTAGCAGGCTGACAGAGATACACAGTGTACATTCTATTATTATTATTATTATTATTATTATTACACTGCCTGGTTCCAGCCCCTGTCTCTCAGGGCACAGTGTGTAGCAGACTGACAGAGATACACAGTGCACATTCTATTATTATTATTATTATTATTATTATTATTATTATTACACTGCCTGGTCCCAGCTCCCCTCTCTCAGGGCACAGTGTGTAGCAGGCTGACAGAGATACACAGTGCACATTCTATTATTATTATTATTATTATTATTATTATTACACTGCCTGGTTCCAGCCCCTGTCTCTCAGGGCACAGTGTGTAGCAGGCTGACAGAGATACACAGTGCACATTCTATTATTATTATTATTATTATTATTATTATTATTATTATTACACTGCCTGGTTCCAGCCCCTGTCTCTCAGGGCACAGTGTGTAGCAGGCTGACAGAGATACACAGTGCACATTCTATTATTATTATTATTATTATTATTATTATTACACTGCCTGGTTCCAGCCCCTGTCTCTCATGGCAGAGTGTGTAGCAGGCTGACAGAGATACACAGTGTACATTATTATTATTACACTGCCTGGTTCCAGCCCCCCTGTCTCTCAGGGCACAGTGTGTAGCAGGCTGACAGAGATACACAGTGTACATTCTATTATTATTATTATTATTATTATTATTATTATTATTACACTGCCTGGTTCCAGCCCCCCTGTCTCTCAGGGCACAGTGTGTAGCAGGCTGACAGAGATACACAGTGCACATTCTATTATTATTATTATTATTATTATTATTATTACACTGCCTGGTTCCAGCCCCCCTGTCTCTCAGGGCACAGTGTGTAGCAGGCTGACAGAGATACACAGTGCACATTCTATTATTATTATTATTATTATTATTATTATTATTATTACACTGCCTGGTTCCAGCCCCCCTGTCTCTCAGGGCACAGTGTGTAGCAGGCTGACAGAGATACACAGTGCACATTCTATTATTATTATTATTATTATTATTATTATTATTATTACACTGCCTGGTTCCAGCCCCCCTGTCTCATGGCAGAGTGTGTAGCAGGCTGACAGAGATACACAGTGTACATTCTATTATTATTATTATTATTATTATTATTATTACACTGCCTGGTTCCAGCCCCCCTGTCTCATGGCACAGTGTGTAGCAGGCTGACAGAGATACACAGTGTACATTCTATTATTATTATTATTATTATTATTATTATTACACTGCCAGGTCCCAGCTCCCCTCTCTCATGGCACAGTGTGTAGCAGGCTGACAGAGATACACAGTGTACATTCTATTATTATTATTATTATTATTATTACACTGCCTGGTTCCAGCCCCCCTCTCTCAGGGCACAGTGTGTAGCAGGCTGACAGAGATACACAGTGCACATTCTATTATTATTATTATTATTATTATTATTATTACACTGCCTGGTTCCAGCCCCCCTCTCTCAGGGCACAGTGTGTAGCAGGCTGGACAGAGATACACAGTGCACATTCTATTATTATTATTATTATTATTATTATTATTACACTGCCTGGTTCCAGCCCCCCTGTCTCTCAGGGCACAGTGTGTAGCAGGCTGACAGAGATACACAGTGCACATTCTATTATTATTATTATTATTATTATTATTATTATTATTACACTGCCTGGTTCCAGCCCCCCTCTCTCAGGGCACAGTGTGTAGCAGGCTGACAGAGATACACAGTGCACATTCTATTATTATTATTATTATTATTATTATTATTACACTGCCTGGTTCCAGCCCCCCTGTCTCTCATGGCACAGTGTGTAGCAGGCTGACAGAGATACACAGTGTACATTCTATTATTATTATTATTATTATTATTATTATTACACTGCCTGGTTCCAGCCCCCCTCTCTCAGGGCACAGTGTGTAGCAGGCTGACAGAGATACACAGTGTACATTCTATTATTATTATTATTATTATTATTATTATTATTACACTGCCTGGTTCCAGCCCCCTCTCTCAGGGCACAGTGTGTAGCAGGCTGACAGAGATACACAGTGTACATTCTATTATTATTATTATTATTATTATTATTATTACACTGCCTGGTTCCAGCCCCCCTCTCTCAGGGCACAGTGTGTAGCAGGCTGACAGAGATACACAGTGTACATTCTATTATTATTATTATTATTATTATTATTACACTGCCTGTCTCCAGCCCCCTCTCCTCAGGGCACAGTGTGTAGCAGGGCTGGACAGAGATATTGTGCATTCTAGTAGCAGGCTGACAGAGATACACAGTGTACATTCTATTATTATTATTATTATTATTAATTCACTGCCTGGTTCCAGCCCCCCTCTCTCAGGGCACAGTGTGTAGCAGGCTGACAGAGATACACAGTGCACATTCTATTATTATTATTATTATTACACTGCCTGGTTCCAGCCCCCCTGTCTCTCAGGGCACAGTGTGTAGCAGGCTGACAGAGATACACAGTGTACATTCTATTATTATTATTATTATTATTATTATTATTATTACACTGCCTGGTTCCAGCCCCTGTCTCTCAGGGCACAGTGTGTAGCAGGCTGACAGAGATACACAGTGCACATTCTATTATTATTATTATTATTATTATTATTACACTGCCTGGTTCCAGCCCCCCTCTCTCAGGGCACAGTGTGTAGCAGGCTGACAGAGATACACAGTGCATATTCTATTATTATTATTATTATTATTACCAGCCCCCGGGAGCTGCTCCGCAGTGAGGGTGGATGGTGGCAGCAGGGTTTCCTTATAGCTACACACACACTGCTCAAACTAAATAATAAAGGGAACACAACAATAACACAGCCCAGATCTGAATTAATTAAACATTATCCTCAAATACTTTATTCTTTACATAGCTGAATGTGCCGACAACAAAATCACACAAAAAATAAAAAATGGAAATCAAATTTTTCAACCCATGGAGGTCTGGAGTTGGAGTCACACTCAAAACTATAGTGGAAAAACACAATACAGGCTGATCCAACTTTGATGTAATGTCCTTAAAACAGGTACAAATGAGGCTCAGTAGTGTGTGTGGCCTCCACGTGCCTGTATGACCTCCCTACAACGCCTGTGCATGCTCCTGATGAGGTGGCGGATGGTCTCCTGAGAGATCTCCTCCCAGACCGGGACTAAAGCATCTGCCAACTTCTGGACAGTATGTGGTGCAACGTGACGTGGTGGGTGGAGTGAGACATGATGTCCCAGATGTGCTCAATTGGATTCAGGATTGGGGAACGGGCGGGCCAGTCCATAGCATCAATGCCTTCGTCTTGCAGGAACTGCTGACACACTCCAGCCACATGAGGTCTAGCATTGTCTTGCATTAGGAGGAACCCAGGGCCAACCACACCAGCATATGGTCTCATAAGGGGTCTGAGGATCTCATCTCGGTACCTAATGGCAGTCAGGTTACCTCTGGCGAGCTCATGGAGGGCTGTGCAGCCCCCCAAAGAAATGCCACCCACTGCCACACTGGTCATGCTGGAGGATGTTGCAGGCAGCAGAACGTTCTCCACGGCGTCTTCACACTCTGTCACGTGCTCAGTGTGAACCTGCTTTCATCTGTGAAGAGCACAAGGCGCCAGTGGCGAATTTGCCAATCTTGGTGTTCTCTGGCAAATGCCAAACGTCCTGAACGGTGTTGGGCTGTAAGCACAACCCCCACCTGTGGACGTCGGGCCCTCATACCACCTCCATGGAGTCTGTTTCTGACCGTTTGAGGCCTGCTGGAGGTCATTTTGCAGGGCTCCTCCTGTTCCTCCTTGCACAAAGGCGGAGGTAGCGGTCCTGCTGCTGGGTTGTTGCCCTCTTACGGCCTTCTCCACGTCTCCTGGTAGCGCCTCCATGCTCTGGACACTACGCTGACAGACACAGCAAACCTTCTTGCCACAGTTCACATTGATGTGCCATCCTGGATGAGCTGCATTACCTGAGCCACTTGTGTGGGTTGTAGACTCCGTCTAATGCTACCACTAGAGTGAAAGCACCGCCCGCATTCAAAAGTGACCAAAACATCTGCCAGGAAGCATAGGAACTGAGAAGTGGTCTGTGGTCACCACCTGCAGAACCACTCCTGTATTGGGGGTGTCTTGCTAATTGCCTATAATTTCCACCTGTTGTCTATCCCATTTGCACAACAGCATGTGAAACTGATTGTCACTCAGTGTTGCTTCCTAAGTGGACTGTTTGATTTCACAAAAGTGTGATTGACTTGGAGTTACATTGTGTTGTTTAAGTGTTCCCTTTATTTTTTTGAGCAATATATATATATATATATATATATATATATATACACATATACACACACACATATATATATACACATACATACACACACAGAGAGAGAGAGATATGCAGACACCCCAACATGCAAAAATACATTGCAGTAAAGTGCCAACACCAGCTACTGCGCCACCCTTCCCCCAGTCACCAAACATGTATGAACTCCTTGACAGACACACACACACAGACACACAAAATGACTTACAGATACACACCGGCACAAACACACAAACTGACATACAGGCACACACTGGCGCACACACACAAAATGACTTACAGACAGGGCCGGATTAAGAGCACAGTGGGCCTGGTGCTGACAATTATGATGGGC